AGATCGCAGCCTTCCCCAGGGACGGCGAGGTCTCGCTCAGGTCCCCGCGGTGCCTCACTCCGCAGGACCCACCAGCAGCCCTCGAAAGTGGCGACAGTGTCGCAGATCGCAGCCCCCCCCAGGGACGGCGAGAGGTCTCGCTCGTGTCCCCGCGGTGCCTCACTCCACAGGACCCACCAGCAGCCCTCGAACGTGGCGGCAGTGTCACAGATCGCAGCCCCTTGGCTAGATGCACACGCAAGAGGTACCGCAGCCAGGATGCACACACACACACACACGATGTGCGCGCAAGGCGGGAGGAGGAGGAGGAGGAGGAGGAGGAGGAGGAGGAGGAGGAGAAGGATTGGAGACCGCACTGCTCTATGCAAAACGAATACCCAACCAAGGAGGGTTGTGAACACACACAGGAAGTTGACCATATCCTGGCGAATGACCCAACTATATGAAGTTGTGGGTACCGCAGTTGTGAACATCTTCTTCGTTGAAGCTGCCTACGGGGCCACGAAGCGCTGCGCTGGGCGGGGGGGAACGCATGTGGGCGGTACCACTGGGACCGTCGATGTCACTCCCTATGAGGCCACGAAGCGCTGCACTCGGTGAGTGAACATCCACAATTAGGCGTGTGGGACGCACGAGGGCGGTCCCATTGGGGGCTTCGGTGGAGCTCCCCATGGGGCCGCGAAGCGTTGTAAAGGGTTGGCGAATCTGCCAAATTGGGTGTGGGGAGCGCATGCGGGCGGCCCCACTGGGGGTTTTGGTGGGGCTCCCTATTGGGCCACGAAGCGTTGTACTGGGTGGGTGAACGTGCCGAAGTGTGTGTGTGTGTGTGTGTGCGCGTGTGTGTGTGCGTGTGTGTGTGTGTGTGTGTGTGTGTGTGTGTGTGTGTGTGTGTGCGCGCTTGTGTGTCTGCGTGTCTGTGTGTCTGTCGGTTTGTGTGTGTGTGTGTGTGTGTGTGTGTGTGTGTGCGTGCGTGTGTGTGTGTGTGTGTGTGTGTGTGTGTGTGTGTGTGTGGGTGTGTGGGGGGGGGCGCATGCGGGCGGTCCCATTGGAGGCTTCGGTGGAGCTCCCTGTGGGGGACGCATGCGGGCGGTCCCACTGGGGGCTTCGGTGGAGCTCCCTATGGGGCCACGCAGCGCTGTACTGGGCGGGTGAAAATGCCAAATTGGGCATGGTGGACGCATGCGAGCGGTCCCATTTGGGGGCTTCGGTGGGGCTCCCTATGGGGCCACGGAGCGCTGTACTGGGTGGGTGACAGTGCCAAATCGGGACTGGGGGACGCATGCGGGCTGTCACATTGAGGGCTTCGGTGGGGGGTTCCCTATGGGGCCACGACGCGCTGTACTGGGTGGGTGACAATGCCAAGTTGGGTGTGGGGGGCGCATGCGGGCGGTCCCACTGGGGATTTTGATAGGGGCTCCCTATTGGGTCACGAAACGCTGTACTGGGCGGGTGAAAATGCCGAATTGGGTGTGGGGGACGCATGCGGGCGGTCTCACTGGGGCCTTCGGTTGAGCTCCCTATGGGGTCACGAAGCGCTGTACTGGGCGGGTGAACGTGCCAAATTATGCGTGGGGGAACGCATGTGGGCGGTCCCACTGGGGGCTTCGGTGGAGCTCCCTATGAGGCCACGAGACGCTGCACTGGATATGCGGAAATGCCAAATTGGGTGTGGGGGACGCATACGGGCTGTCCCACTGGGGGCTTCGGTAGAGCTCCCTATGGGGCCACGAAGCGCTGTACTGGGTGGGTGAAGCTGCCAAATTTGGCGTGGGGGACGCACGCGGGCGGTCCCACTTGGGGCTTCGGGGCAGCTCCCTATGGGGCCACGATACGCTGTACTGGGTGGGTGGAAATACCAAATTGGGTGTGGGGGACGCCTGCGGGCGGTCCCACGCTGTACTGGGTGAGCGAAAATGCAGAATTGGGTGTGGGGGCGCATGCGGGCGGTCCCAGTGGGGCCTTCGGTTGAGCTCCCTATGGGGCCACGCAGCGCTGTGCTGGATGTGCCGAAATGGGTGTGGGGGACGTATGCGGGCGGTGGAGAGGAGGAGGAGGGGGAGGAGGAGGAGATGAGACAAGGAACGCGGGGACCGTCTCTTCAAAACGAGGGCCCAACACCACAGGATGGTTGGGAAAAACAGACCATCCAAAACAATCAAAACGCCAGAGCTGGACATCTAAGAACATTCTGGAAATAGCCCAAACAACAAACAAGAACATATTAGACTTTGTCCACCCCCCCACCACCCACCACCCACCATCAGAGTAAGTGCAGTTTGGTTTGTTATTCATGCTTTTTTGTTTGTGTTTCTTTTGTGTGTGTGTGTGTGTGTTTGGTTTTTCAGCCGTGGGTCTTTTTGATGAATTGGGATTGTTTGGTTGTTCATTTTGTTTGGGGTCTTTCAGCCCCCAGCTGGAGGAAGAGGGAGGAGCAGGAAGGTGATGATGAGAAGGACAGGGGCAAGGAGGAGGAGGAGGAGGAGTTTGGAGAGGCATGAGCACCTCCACGTGCAAGCACACTTGCGAAACCATGCACGCATAACGAATGCAGACAAGAAGAAGGCTTCGAAATCAATCAATTACCTTGCGAATTTCCATGGGGACCGGGATGCCCGCACTCCCATATATGTATATGTATGTGTAGGCCGGTGCACCCACCATGAACCCCCCTTTTCTCTTGGAAGATGCTAAGAAAAAAGGGGGCGGGTGCGGTTGGAGTTTCGGGTGTCGCGTCGTGTTGTGGTGGTTGGATTTGGAGTACGTGTGTGTGTTGGAGACGGAGAGAGCCTGTTGAGTATCGGGTGTTGTGTTGGAGAAGGAGGCTGTTGAGTACTGGGTGTTGTGTTGGAGACGGAGGGAGTTGAGTAGAAGGTTCTTTTCAAGTTCAGCTTGGGGAGGGAGCCTGTTGAGTATCGGGTGTTGTGTTGGAGAAGGAGGCTGTTGAGTACTGGGTGTTGTGTTGGAGACGGAGGGAGTTGAGTAGAAGGTTCTTTTCAAGTTCAGCTTGGGGAGGGAGCCTGTTGAGTATCGGGTGTTGTGTTGGAGAAGGAGGCTGTTGAGTACTGGGTGTTGTGTTGGAGACGGAGGGAGTTGAGTAGAAGGGAGCTCAACAAGTCTTCCAAAAAAGAGCCTCAAAAGTGAGTCCGAAAATCGTAGGAATCATATATAAATTCATATATAATCATGAGAAAGGGGGGTTCTTGGTGCAGCTTGGGGAGGGAGCCTGTTGAGTATCGGGTGTTGTGTTGGAGAAGGAGGCTGTTGAGTACTGGGTGTTGTGTTGGAGACGGAGGGAGTTGAGTAGAAGGGGAGTGAGTAGAAGGTTCAAGTTCAGCTTGGGGAGGGAGCCTGTTGAGTATCGGGTGTTGTGTTGGAGAAGGAGGCTGTTGAGTACTGGGTGTTGTGTTGGAGACGGAGGGAGTTGAGTAGAAGGTTCTTTTCAAGTTCAGCTTGGGGAGGGAGCCTGTTGAGTATCGGGTGTTGTGTTGGAGAAGGAGGCTGTTGAGTAATGGGTGTTGTGTTGGAGACGGAGGGAGTTGAGTAGAAGGGAGCCCAAAAAGTCTTCCAACAAAGAGCGTCAAAAGTGAGTCCGAAAATCGTAGGAATCATATATAAAATCATATTTAATCATGAGAAAGGGGGTTCTTGGTGGGCGCACAGGGCTATGTGTACATACTTATAAATATGTAAACATGTATGTACACATATATATATGTATATATATATATATACATGTATATGTATCGATATATCAGCTGCGTGGGCATACCGACCCGACAACGCATGCATGGATGGATGCCCATGCAGCCATGGCTTCGAACACGAGCGGGGCACAAGTGTCCCGGGCACGCTTGACACCTGTTCCGCAGAACCTGCGTGGTGCGGCGCGCACGAGGCGAGATGTGTAGCTGCCCATTCTTCGTGGGGCAAGCAATGACATACAGTCGGGGCCCTGAAGAAGGAACCTTTTTCGTTGGGCAGGGGCTCTGCGTTCCTTAAGTGTTTCGCAGCTTGCCTCAGGTTTTCCTTATGTTTTCGATCGGAAATCGAAGTTTAACTTATGGAAACAAGGGATCTCGTTCCTTATTTTGGGTTCCTTAGGTCAAGGCCCCGACTGTAACCATACATTCGGAGGCAACTCCTGGAAGGTCAGATTCTGATTTTGCCCTGGTGCGAAATCCGGCTTCCTCCCGCTCAGCCCAGGCGCAATCCATCTAAAAATCCCGCTTAATCCGGCTTCATCCCGCTCAACCCATGCAAAATCTGGCTTCATCCCGCTCAACCCAGGCGTAATCCATCTTAAGATCCCGCTTCATCCAGCTTCATCCCGCTCAATCCGAGGCCCACTCCGACGCAACAGCGCTGGATCCGCCGAGCGGCGTCCCCTCAGTATCGTTGAACCGACCCCCATCCCCATCACCATCCCCTTCGAGACCCCCCCACCAAATTACCCCCCAGTTGGGGATACACCCCTCGAAACCCGACGGGAACGACCTATATCCCCATCTTGGGGGTGAATCGGCCAGTGGGGCCCAGGACACGCCGCTGGGGATGGGGATCGGTTAAACGATACTCATCCCTGGCGCCGCCCGTGGCGCACGGAACGCCCCAGGGGGAGTGGGTTCCAGCGCCGATCCGAGAACTCTGAGCGGCTTTCCGAGCGTTTTTGTGTATGCCAGCGTGTGTTGCCTGCATTTCGGCCCGCTGCCCCCGGAGAACCTTCTGGGGGCTCATGTGCAGTTCCCTCGATGGGTCTCGTTCTGGTATACGCAATGGCGCCAGATGGGAGGCACAGGCTCCTCCCAGAGTGCTTCCCTGCTCCACGTCGTGCTCCTGCCCCAGCCTCCCGTCTCCCTTCGAATCCTCTGGCAGTTTGTCGCAGAGGGTACATTGGCTTAGAGGACTGAGCGATGCCATACGCAAAGCTAAAACAGAACAGCTCCGAGCTGTCATGCTTATGTCATGTGGCTGTGTTCGGTGTTGCAGCGTGTCGCGCCCAGCACTTCATGGCGCAGTTCGTGGACCTGTGCAGCTCGAAGGGGCACACGGACGCGGTCATCGAATCGCCCACCAGCACCGGTGATTTTCTGCTGAAGGCTGCGGTGCCTGAGCTTCTCATTTGAAGGTCTTTCATCTCGTCGTCGTCATCGTCATTATCTCTCTTCTCGCAGCCATTCCCTGGTTGCGTGGATTCCTCCTCTGCGCAGGGTGAAGTACAGGCGTGGTCAAGTTCAAAATGTTTTATTGTGTTGTGCTGTATCCGCGGCACGTGGAATTGATGACATCATGGTTGTATGAGTTGATTGGCCTAGGTTTCGCCGCCCTCTGGCCACTTGCGTGTCCTGACCAACGGCGCATGTACATATCATCGAAGACGCTTACGGCGAGTTCCTGCCACCCCCTGCCTTTTTGGAAGCGTCAGTGTCGTGCAATGTCGAGCGAAAGCGCAGCCATTTGAATGATCTGCGTGTTACCCCAGCTCTCGGGGAAACCACTGAGGAACACTGGGGAGGGGGCCTCATTGGCCATCTTCAGGCCGTCTTTGTGCTGCCTTGGACTTCTTTTCTTGCCTTTGGGCTTTCTTGGGAGCCTCGGGCCCTCTTGGGCTAGTTCGGGGCTCTCTGGGGCCGTCTCAGTGCGCAATTGGGCCGTATGGCGCCTTCGGAGGCCGTCTTGGGGGCTTCTCTGGCCCGTCTTGGGGCCTCTCTGGGCCGTCTTGGGCTGTCTGTGGGATGCCTTTGGGGCCTTCGGGGCCGTCTTGGGGCGATCTTAGGGGCCTCTTGGGCCGTCTTGGGCTGTGGGAAGCTCGAGACGGCGAGAACGCGAACGCAATGATCATCCAATTGTTTTTCAATTGTTTTGGCCTGTGGTCCCCCCAAACGGCCTAAGAGAGACCCCGAAGAAAGTCTATCGGACCCTTTCTTGGAGCTTGGAGCCATCTTGGGGCCGTCTTGTTCGTCTGGGGAGCGTCTTTCAGGCCATCTGTGATCGTCTTTGGTCGTCTTGAAGCCCATCTTGGGCCACCTTGGCTATCTTGGAGATGAGCTTTCTCGGCATAGAGCGATTTTTTCGTTGTGGGGGCCGGCGTGCCTATCCGAAGGCCAGTAGGATCAGTTTGAAGAGCCGGGCAGACATTTGAGATCTGGAACGCCAGGCACCCTTGGATAAATCACGGGGGGAGGGGGGGGGGCGGCTCCTGTGGCGTAGAAGCCTCTCAAAGACCTTTGGGGTGTCTCTTGGGAGACCTTTTGGAAGCTGAGGTCTCTAGGGGCCTCTAGGCGGCCTCTGGCGGCATCTTTGGGCTCCTTTAGGGGGCTTGCTGCCAGTCTGGGGGGGCAACCTGGGGAAAGCACTCGAAATATACATTCTAGATGATTCGCGTAACCCCACCAGCCCATCCAGAAACGATGCCCAAGCAAGTCGCCCTGATCAGGGATGTGGGGGAGCGTGCGGTGGAATAAAGGGCTGAGGAAGACGTCATACCCCACGGGGGTGAGGATGGAGGAGGAATCGGAGGAGGAGGAAGAAGAGGAAGAGGAAGAGGAAGAGGAGGAGGAGGAGGAGGAGGAGGAGGAAGAGGACGAGGAGGACGAGGAGGAGGAGGAGGAGGAGGAGGAGGAGGAGGAGGAGAGGAGGAGGAGGAGGAGGAGGAGGGGGAGAAGAGGGGAAGGAGGGATGAGAGAGGAGGAGGAATATGCGGATGAGGACGAGGAGGAGGAGGAGGAGGAGGAGGAGGAGGAGGAGGAGGGCGAGCAGAACGGCCAGAAGCCTCTTGGACACCCCGCGGAGTCTCTTTGGATGTCTCTTCAGAGTTTCTTGGAGTCCTCTGGGGCGTCTGGGGGGTTTTCTTGGCGGTCCTAGGTGCCTCCTGTAGCGTCTTGGGTCCCTCGGGGGAGCCTCTTTGGGCCTTATTGGGGTCCCTTGGGGGCCTCTTAGAGACCTCTTGGAGGCTTCTGGGGGCCACATGGGCGCATCTTGAGGCCCCCTTTGGGCACTCTTCTTATACTTGAGGGCCACGTTGGAGGACATCAATCAGAACAGGGGGGTCCTAATCAGCCTCCTCCCCCAGAGCTCCGAAAATTGTTTCGTGCACCCCTTCTGGAGCACTCTTGGGCGCTCTTGGGGCCGTCTTGGGGCCATCTTGGGATCCTCTTGGTGCTCTCTTGGGCCTTCTTGGAGTCATCTTGAGGCCTCGGAAGGCCATCGAACGCGAACAAGCGAGAAGACAACACGTTGATTTCCCTGCAGGTTTTGGAAGGAGTTTGGCTGATTGGTGGCTTCCTTGGGAGGCTCCGGGGCCACTTGTAGCTGTCTCGGGGTGGCCTTAGGGCCTCTTGGAGCATGTTGGAAGCCATCTTGAGCTACTTTCAACCATCTTGAGCCATATTGGCGGTCCTCTTTGGTTCTCTGAGGCCCTCTTGGAGCCGTCTTGGGCCAACACAACCCTCTGACACCTCGCACCCCCCTCCAGATTACATTCACTGGTAGGACTGTTCAAGTATCCCTTGGCATGGTATCCACAAACCTATCCTCACTCGATGTTACCATCGTCCTGGCTTCCTCTTAGTTTGTGCCTTCTGCCCTCTTCCTCCCGACGTCACGCTAACGGCGGTGTAGGTAACGGCGATGTAAGTTTCGGAGTTGTAGGTGGGGGTGGTTCGTGGCCAACCCACTCGCTGGAAAGGCTTGTTCCCTTTTTCCTACAACTTGTTCTGCGTGAGCTCGGGGTCGCCAAGCCCATACTCCCCACATCGCCGTCAACCGACATCGCCGTCAGCGTGGCCTTGGTCCTCCTCCCGCAGAGGCCAGGCGCGGGCCGTGGAGAGGGCAGGAGGAGGATGAGGAGGCGGAGGAGGAGGAGGGGGAGGAGGAGGAGGAGGCGGAGGAGGAGGCGGAGGAGGCGGAGGAGGAGGAGGCGGAGGAGGAGGCGGAGGAGGAGGCGGAGGAGGAGGCGGAGGAGGAGGCGGAGGAGGGAGGAGGGAGGAGGGAGGAGGGAGGAGGAGGAGGGGGAGATTCTCGATCCATCCTCGCCCTGACTCCGCCCTCGTGCTGCCCTCGCCCTGGCGGACGTGATCCCCCGCCCCCCCCCTCCCTCCCTTGGCATCGCTCGGACGTGCGCATTTTTCCATCGGCGAGGATCATGGAGGAGCATCCTTGATCATTCGGCAAAAAAAAACCACGCACGACACCGAAAAAAAAACACAGGGAACGGACGTCCGAGCGATGGCCAGCTCCCCTCCCAGGCCCGGGGCCCCCTGCAGCACGACCTGTACTTCAAGCCGCTCACCGAGGGCCAGAAGGAGCGCGCGGCCTCGGCCGCGCGGCCGCGGGCGCGCGGCAGGGCTCTCCCGCCGGTCTCTCCCCCCCCCTCCAAGAGAAAAGGGCTCCCGGAGGCCGCGCCAGTCGGGGGCAACGAGGGGGGGGGGCCTCGGCCGCGCGGGCGGGCGCGCGGCACGGCTCCCGCCGGTCTCCCCCCCACCCCCTAAGAAAAAAGGGCGCCTGGAGGCCGCGCCCTTTCGGGGGCAACGATGGGGGGGAGAGAGGCACGAGGGGGGGGGGGGGATGCGCCGACCCCCAATCGCCCACCGATCGCCATTCGGGGGCAACGATGGGGGGAGAGAGGCACAGAGGGGGGGGGGGATGCATCGACCCCCAGTCGCCCACCGACCGCCGATGGGGGCCCGGTGGCCCCACCCCGCCCGGGAAGGTGCGGATGCACTGTCGGGGGCCCATCGCCGATCTGTTGACGATGTGTCGCCGATTCCAGGTCGATGCATCCCCCCCTATGCCTATCCCCCCCTATCATTGCCCCTCAGTCATGGGGGGGCGATGCTCTCACCGAGCACGCTCCACTGCTCACTCGCAAAGTGCCTGCTCGCGAGCGTCCGACAAGACCGTGTCGTCCTCTTTTTTTACGGGATAGTTTTCGAGAAGTCTTTTTGCGAGCGGTGGGACGCGCGTGTCGATGATCGTCCACGCGCAGAGGGTGGCGGAGGGAGGGGGGAACGCTTCTTGGAAGCACGCCTGCTTTTCAGAAGGCGCGGGCCTTCTCTGCAGATGCAGGGCCGGCGCCTTCTAAGAAGCGGCCTCCTTCTAAGAGGCCTCCCCCCCTACCCTTCACCCCTTGTGCGCGCCGCCGGGATACATGGGGGGGGCAGCGAGGGCTGCGCAAAAGGGGCCCTTTAGGGCCCCTAAGGATCAAGCAGTGGCGAAGCGTCCTGGTTCGCCTAGAGGCCTAAACAGTGTTCCGAGAACCTTTGGGTCTCCACGAAATGTTCTTAGGGCATTTCTGGCGGGGATTGTCTTGTTTTAACACATCGGGCCCATGTTCTCAGAACGCTTGTTTCTGTGATTCGAACATTTTTGGGTTCCAGGAGCATGTCGTGGCAGGCCTATAGGAATGCCAGGACGGTCGGTCACTGCTCGGGAGGAGGCCCTTTGGGGCCCCGGAGGGGGGGGGGCCTCGAGGGCCCGCGAGGGGCACCCCCTCTCCCCCCTCCGCGTACGCATCGCCGCTCCTTGGAATTCGTGCCCAAGGCTCCGAGCCTATCCTTACATTACACTCTAGGCGATGCTTAAGAAAGCCCAAGTCTTCGGCCAGAGTCTCGATGATTCTTAATGCTTCAATTGCAAACCTAAGATTTGAATATAGACGTTCTGGGTTTTTATTCAAATTCTGAGACTATGAATTTCTTAACTCATGATTTCTAAAGCATTTCGCAGGGTGTACAGTCGGACCGAGATCCAGTCGAGGTCGATTAGCAGGTCGACCCTTCCAAATAGAGGATACCCTCGTGTCCTGTGTTTCGCGACCCATGGAACTTCCACACTCCTGTGGCAACGTTGGCCCTCGGAAGGGTCTCGTGTCCTTTCGCGTGTCCTCTCCAATCAACCCCGACTGTATGAGTCGGACCGAGATACAGTGGGGGCGCGCATCAAGAAACCATATGCTTTTCGTCGGGTGTCCTGGTTCTCTTCGCTCCTCCGCTGCGCGTTGGCTTCCCGCAGCCGTTGAGGGAGATGCTGCGTTCAGGGTGTGGGTTCTCGAGGTGGGTTTCTTGCGAGGGTTTCTTGCTGCCGCGCCCGCACTGTATGAGGTCGAGGTCGGTTCGGGGAGGGTACCCTGATGTTCTTCGTGTGTGTTAGATGTTCTCGTGCATCCTGGGGGAGGGTACCCTTGGACGTTCTGCGTGTTTTGGCCCGCGGAGGGTATCATGTTCTTGAAGGATGTTTGTCTGTCCGAGGTCCGACCGTATCCCTAAGATTGACAAGCCCAAAGGCGACGACAATCTTAGGGATGCGCCCTCAGAAATTGAGGGGATCCTTGAGATCTTTATTAGGTGATGCCAATCATAGGGATAAGGGTATGTTCCAGGCTGGTAATCATTTCGAGTTCTATCTCAATTCGGTCAAGGATTTCGGATCGATAAGGAGGAGGAGGAGGCGCCTACCAGAAGGAGGAGGAGGACGAGGGGGAGGTGGAGGAGGAAGATGAGAGGATGACTGCAGAGACGTGTAGGGCTCCTTCCGATTCCTCCGACTCGATTCGAGTCGGTTCCGATCGATTCCGATTCCGATCTGGTCCGACCTCGGACTCCAGTTGGGATATCGGTGTGCCGATGGAGGCTTCACTTGGCCTGCCGCTCTTCGCCGACTCGACTCCTTCCGCCTTGGCCGCCGATCTCCGCCGCTCCGATCCAGTTCGATCGCCGCCGGGACGTAGCGTCCGTGGAAACACGCTGTGAACAGCAACGCACGTGGGCAAAAACACACACGTCTGTGAAATGGTAGTACAATGGTTGTAGACACCCAGGGTGGGAGGGTAGGTTCGGGTGATTCTTCCACAGCAGATGTTCTCCGTCGGCGGCAAGGCGGGGCAGCCCGCTCCGGCGTGGCAGCGATGCAGGGGCACTACAAAGCGAATTGGCCCGCATGCAGGAGGAAGGGTGAGGACAGACGGGGCGGCCGCGGGGAGGGGAGGGCGAGTTCTCAGAGGCGGAAGACTTTTTTCCACAAAAAATGCGTGTGTGTGTTTTTGCTTTCCGAGGCGGGAATTTATACATGACCACCGCCCGGATATGGACATACTCGGGCCCCCGGGGGCCAAACTATATATATATATATATATATATATAGATGTATATCCACATCCTTCGCTTGCTGGGGCACCATGACGTCGGTTCCCAGGCGGTGGATGTTGAGAATCCCCGCCTCGCAGTTTTGTATTCTTTCCACCGGTTCGGTGCTCGGCCCCTGAGCGCCCTCCCGCAGCGCGCCCTGCGCCGCCCCCGGTGCGGCGGCGCCACGCCCCCAGAGGGGGGGGGGCCTCTGCGTGCTCTCTCTCTCTCTCTGGAGGAAAGGGCTGTCAGGAATCGCACTGTGTTCGCAAAATCTCTCTTTTCCGTAGGCTGCAATCGCTATTCTCGATGCTGTGCTGGCAAAGAATAGAGGGACGGACCTTCAGATTCGGTACCGGGGCTTAGATCCTGTCGCCGCCCCCTTGAGAGCCAACAAAAACTACGCATGACATGAATGCAATTCGAGCGGAGGTCAACACGAAGAGGCTTCACCTGAAACCTGACCTCTTCTTCATTTATGTTGCGTTTGCGCAGCCCTATCGGCTTGACAAATGATAATAATGATCGACCAACCAACTTAATTACCCCGCGGTCGGAGGCAGCTCAGGGACTCCTGCGGGGTCCTGGCCACGCCGATCCAGGGCGCTGCAGGGGAGGAGGGGAGGAGGAGGAAGGGGAGGAAGGGGAGGAGGAGGATGAGGAAGAGGGGCGGGGAGGAGGAGGGGAGGAGGAGGAGGAGGGGAGGAGGAGGAGGAGGAGGAGGAGGAGGAGGAGGAGGAGGAGGAGGAGGAGGAGGGGGGGGAGGGGGAGGAGGAGGAGGGGGAGGTGGAAGAGGAGGGAGGGGGGGGGAGGGGGAGGGGGAGGAGGAGGAGGAGGAGGAGGAGGAGGAGGAGGAGGAGGAGGAGGAGGAGGAGGAGGAGGAGGAGGAGGAAGAGGAGGAGGAGGAGGAGGAGAGGGGGAGGAGGAGAGGAGGAGGAGGGAGGAGGAGGGAGGAGGAGGAGGAGGGGGAGGAGGAGGGGGAGGGGGAGGAGGGGGAGGGAGGAGGGGGAGGAGGAGGAGGAGGAGGAGGAGGAGGAGGAGGAGGACGAGGAGGAGCACGAGGAGGAGGAGGCACTGCCGGGCTGGTGCACCTGTCTGCCTGCCTGCTCTGCCGGGTGAAGTCGGGTGTGTCCCTCCCTCTACGGGAGGAATATTCAAAGATAGTCAGAACATCGTTGTGGGGCGATTTCTTTGAATCTATGTTCGAGCATTGGGTTGGTTATTGTTGAATCAAAGACAACGGCGGGAGGTTCTTCGCCAGGTTCGGCCTCCGGGAGCCCTTATGGGGCCTCAGGACCCTAACAAAAACGACTCGGGATGAGAAACCAGTCCCCGGGGAAGGGGTCCAGACCTCTGGGGGTCGACGTTGCGAACAAAAATACGACGTCGGGAGTCTGGGCGGGAAGAGCGGGAAGAGCGTGAACGGGGGGTGAGGCAGCCGCGGACGGCAGAGCCCGCTCAGAGCATGGAGCGGCGTCGTGGTGTGTACGTCGAGCGCGTGCTCGACGTACACACCACGTCGTTTTCGGTACAGTCGGACCGAGGCATAAGATCGAGGTCGGTTCGGGGAGGGTGCCCCAATGCTCTTCGTGTTTGTTGGATGTTCTTTTGCACCCTGGGGAGGGAACCCTTTGATGTTCTCGTTGTTTTGGCCGACCCCTGGATCTCATGTTCTTGAGGGATGTTCTTCTGGCTGGCCTAGGTTCGACTACCAATTCGTGAGAGCCTTGTATGTCCTTGAAAGTCAGCCTTCATTGGCGTGCGCTAGCGTCTGGCAATCGATGAGGAAGCGCCGATTTAGCTTCGATCAGCGTCGGTTTAGCGACGATTAGCGTCGATTTCGTCTGGTCGGCCAGGGAGCCATTGAAGTCGGCCGAAGGAGCTTGGTCTATAGACTGCGTCGGACGTGGCTAGGACACAGATGATCCTTCAGAGCTTTCCGGGACGCTCTCGGAGCGTTCCGGGTCGCTCCGAGAAGGCATCGGCGTTCGAGGTATCCTCCAGAGCCGTCGGATCTGAGAGATCTTCGAGTTTCCCTGGCCCAATTGAGTGCCTGTCTTGGCTTCGTCTTGCTGCACGAAGCTCCTCGGCCGACCGGGCGACTCGGTGTGCACTGCGAGCCCCCCCCCCCCAGCGCAGGCGTGGATGCTCATGGGTGGGAGCGCCTCTCTGGGCTCTGCGATCGACATGTGTTCGGAGAGAATTGGGACGAAGACTACAGTCTACCTTGATAAGAAGGACGAGCGATGTTCCAAGGTTGCCTTTGCATCCTTTCCCTTCAGTCGGAGGTTGATAAACCTACGATGACACGTCGATTAAGGAATTGGCTGTTTTCCGTTCGCGAGAGGGCGTCGCGGGCTTCATTTTTGCGGGTCCAGGTCCGTCGGTTTCGGTCCCAGGCCGTTTTCATTAAGGGGAGGTTTATTACATGGAGGTTTGTCCATCGCCGAACAGTCAATTTTGATAAGATGGATGAGCGATGTTCCAAGGTTGCCTTTGCATCCTTTCCCTTCAGCCTTTCACTGGCCACGTTCGCTGGCTGCGCCCCGCTCGAAAAGCGTCGACGTGGCCTTCCAAGGCCCTTGTATCGTTATCGTGCATCCTTGTTATGAGGGTTGATTGTAACAGCAGTTCCTGTCCACTCTGAACAGGACTTCGGAGGAGGTGACGGTACCGATGCCGCTACCCTTTCCTAGTTTTCGTCTTCTTGGGCCTCCTGGGAGGCCCTCGTCGCCACCTGGCTAGCGATATGTGTACCGTTTGGTCTCCTTAGGGCTCGCTGTCGGGGGTGCCGCCGCGGGGCTGGTGCCCATTTGAGACAGGAGGCCGCTTGCCCAACAGCAGCTGCCGCCTGTCGAAATCGGACCACGTGTGCTGTCGGGCAAGGTTCCCTCTTCGTGGCGTACCCCTTTCGGGCGCCCTCGCGGGCGGCCGCGGGCGGGGCCGAGGCCGCCCCTCAGCAGAGGCCTCCTCGATGGGGTCGGAGCAGGTCGAAGGGGAGGGGGAGGGGGGGGAGGAGGAGGAGGAGGAGGAGGGAGGGAGGAGGGGAGGAGGAGGAGGAGGAGGAGGAGGAGGAGAGGAGGAGGAGGAGGAGGAGGAGGAGGGAGGGGGAGGGGGAGGGGGAGGAGGAGGAGGAGGAGGAGGAGGCGGAGGAGGAAGAGGAGGAGGAGGAGGAGCATCAGCCCGTGGCGCGAGGTGCACACGGTTTCTGCCCTCCAACGGGCCAGTGGGCTGCAGACAGCGGTGGTGGCCTGCCGTGGGCCCGGGGGTCGAGGGGCATTTGTTTGCCGCGCGGCCTCGTGGCCTCGTCGCCCGAGGCCAGGTGTTTTTTTTGGGCGCAGCGGGCCTGGTGGCAGGCTGGGGGGAGGCTGCGTGCGCCGCACGCTCGGCAGCTGGTGCTTGATCTGTTCCCCACAGCTTGAACTAAGGGCACGCCGCGCAGGAACACGCCTGCATCACCATCGCAGTCATGATGATTGGCCGTTACCATCCTGGTTATCGCCGTCGTCATCATCACCATCATGCCTTCACACACACTCACATAATTGTTCACTCATCGCCATCGTCATCACCATCATCATCAGCATCACCATCATCATCAGCATCATCAGCAGCAGCATCATCATTAGCAACATCATCAGTACCATCATCAGTATCATCATCATCATCATCATCATCATCATCATCATCATCATCATTATCATCATCATCATCATCATCATCATCACCATCACCATCACCATCACCATCACCATCATCATCATCATCATCATCATCATCATCACCACTCTCACAGTCACCATCTCCATCACCAACACTCATTATCATCAACATCATCAGCATCATCAGCATCACCATCATCACCATCATCACCATCACCACCATCACCACTCATCACCACTCATCACCACAATACAGACTCACATACTCGCTGTGAGGGAAGCCTCGAGCCCTACGGGGCCCGCACTTCATGCTGGCATTGCCAGCGGATTATCTGGATACTTTTCCTGGCATAGCACTGAAGCAGCCCAAGGGGGTCAATCGTGAGGATGTCTCGAGCGGGGGCCTCGTCTGCGAGTGACGTGCGAGGAAGTCTCAGGCGGGAGCCCCCTCCCCATGGGACACGCAGACCATGTCGGTGATCCGAGCGGGTCATCGGGATACGCTGCCCGGCATGGCATTTGAGCACCCCACGGGCGGGGGCCTCGTCTGTGGGTGACTTAGGAGGAGTTCTCAGGCGGGGGCCCCCTCCCCATGGGGCCCGCAGGTCGTCTTAGCAATTCGAGCGTGTCGTTGGCCTACTGTAGCAGGCATACCATTTGTGCATCCCAAGAGCGCGATTCGTGAGGATGTCTCGAGCGGAGGCCTCGTCTGTGAGTGCACAGTGAGGAAGCCTCGATTGGGAGCCCCCTCGATATAGGGCCCGCAGGTCGAACAAGCACCACAGACAATAAGAAACGAGTATCCTGGAGATTGCAGTACTGCGGTGGATCGTGGATTCCCTGCCCTTCCTTTCCCCCGCCCCCACAATACTGCGCGAAAGAATGCTTGGCTCTGGAGGGGTACCCGCATGTTCTTTGGGTTCTCTACTGCGGAGCGCTCGTCGTCTGGGGGATCCTACGTGGGGCCTCGGGCTTTCGGCTCAGCGGCTCCTGCTCTCGACCCATGCTCTTGTGGCCACGCTTCGACCGTACCAGGGACGCTTCGCCAAGGGCGCCCTCGAGGGCGCGACGTTGATCGCGTTTCGCGGTTTGGCTCCGATCCCTCCTCGTCCTCTTCTTTCTCCCTTGGGGGGCGACGCGAGAGCGCGAGGTCATTCGTGCTTCGTGCAGCGCGCAGCGCGAAGTTAGGCGCCTCTTCAGGCTGCGCAGAATAATCATCGGCCTCTCTGCACACGCGCAGCAGGCAGGACTCACAGCGAGCGGACGTAGCCAGAACAGGGAGGTCACGCCACGGAGGGAGAGGGGAGGCGGGAAGAGGGCCCGCGGCAAGCGGCGCGAAGTGCTCAGGGGAGGCGGGGTGCAGTGCATGCAGGTGCCGTTTGCGGGGAAGGTCGTTCGAAGCCGAATTGTTCCCGCCGTCTCGGCGCCCTCCAGGACAGTCTGAGGCGTTTCTCGGAGGGTTCCCGGCGGTTTGTGGGGTTGTTGCGGGTGGGCTCACCGTTTGGTAGACTCACCAGCCACGCCCTAGGAGCGCCTCGGAGCCTACAGTCATCCCGGGAAGTTCGTGGCGCGGGTTTTGGGGAATTTACAAAAAAAGCACTATCGTATGATCCTTTCGGGCATGCCACTACGTGCGTCTGGCACGGTGGCGGATTTGTTTCCATCTGCCCTCTCCTCTTTCCATCTCACTTCACACTTTGCTTCATGATGATTGCTTTGAACACCCCGCACATTGTCGCAGAGTCTCTTGCACGCGACCAGTAATCAGTGCCACGCGAAAGCGAGCCAGATAAGGCAATCGTGCCCACGACTTGCACGTTTGCGTTTTCACTGAGACAGACCTCGTTCTTCAGACATGTACCTTGCGCATCATAACTATACCGTAGTCGCCGTGCTCGGCGTCAGGCAGCACCGTGGTCCAGCAGCATCTGCTGTTGTCAGCGACTTGTCCTTCAGAACCTTCCTTTCGCAGTTCATGCGTTCGGCATTGGAAGGATTCGAACCTGAGCGCTCAAACACTCGCAGTGTTCATTGTGTGTACGTGTACAATCTGTATACATATCACTGGTCGTGATCACCATGAGCTTGCCGCCGTCATTGCCATTCTCTCGAGATGCGATTTGCCATGCCTCATGACCAGCGGGCCAAGAGGCTCGAGCGACGACACACCCGCTCGAGGCCAGTCTTCCCATCCCCCCAACTCGCTCCCACGCCCGCCCTGCCTGCCCCTCCCACCCGCTCCCCGCCGCCGCCAGGACAACTTCCTGAACTTCTGGAAGGAAAAGGAACTCAAAGAGCGGAGTTACATGATCCCCTTGGTGGCGATCGTCGAGAAGGACGGCCAGGCACGCGGTTCCTCCTCCGAGCTCCTCGCCTGCCTGCCCTCGCCCGCCGGTGCCCGGTGGCCCGCCAGTCTGTTCTCTCCAGTCCACCCGTGTCTCTCCGTCCGTCTTCTAGGGGGCCACACGAGAACCCGACCCCTACCCCCCACCCTCTCCTCAAAAATCGTGGGGGGTAGGGGTAGGGTCCACATGTGGCCCCCTAGCTATCCGTCTGCTTTTCTCCCCCTCCCCCTCCCTCTCTGCCGTGGTTCTGTCCGACGGCGACTCGGTGCCAACGGGGGGGTTCTCCAGCTGCCTGCGGCAGGTCCCGCCGCCGTGCCGGCCCAGCATTCTTGGTGGCGATCGTTCGAGGGGGCGCGGGAGGCCGTCACGTGTGACGCCTCGTGCACAGGCGTGGGAGGGCCGTGATGACGATGCTGATGCTGATGCTGATGTGGATGGTGATGGTGATGCTGCTGATGATGCTGATGATGCTGGTGCTGATGCTGGTGCTGATGCTGATGCTGATGCTGATGATGATGGTGATGATGATGAGGAGGATGTTGATGATGATGATGGTGGTGGTGGTGGTGGTTGTGGTGGTGACGGTTGTGGTTGTGGTGATGACGATGATGGTGGTTATGATGTTGATGATGCTGATGCTGCTGCTGATGCTGCTGCTGCTGATGATGATGCTGATGATGATGGTGATGATGATAGTGGTGGTGGTGGTGGTGGTGGTGGTTGTGGTGCTGCTAATGATTATGATGATCGTGATGATGATGCTGATACTGATGATGACGTTGATGATGCTGCTGAATATGATGATGATGATGATGATGATGATGATGATGATGATGATGATGATGATGATGATGATGATGATGATGGTGATGCTGATGATGCTGCTGCTGCTGATGATGATGCTGCTGCTGATGATGATAAGGAGGAGGAGGAGGAGCAGGAGGAGCAGGAGCAGTAGTAGGAGTAAGAGCTAGCGTAGGAGGAGAAAGAGGAAGGCCAGCACACGGGACACCTTTCGTTTTCATGATTTGAGGAGTTCTCATGGCACTCGTTTGGGTTGCATTTCGGCTGTCTTGGTTTCCAGTGAGGCAGTCTTGGGGGTCCCTTGTGGCCCTCTAGAGCCGTCTGGGGGCCCTCTTAGGCCGTGTTGGGGTTCTCTTGGGCCATCTTGGGTCTCTCTTGGCAGTATGATGGGTTTCTGGGTGCCGTCCTGGCCTTTAAGGCTGTTTTGGGTCCCACAGCAGGCCCTCTTGGGTCGTCTTGGGGCCGTCTTGGATGCTTGGGCCCTCGTGAGGTCCACTTGGCCCATCTTTGGACCCTCGTTGGGGCCTTTTGGGCCGTCTTTGGCCATTTGGGAGACTTTTTGGGCCTTATTGAGCTGACGGACTCTTAAGCATGCGAGAAAGCGAAAATCATTGAAACACCCTAGGAAATCTATAATTCGGCTTCTTCGGGTCCTGTTGGAGGGCCTTAACGGGGCCCTTTGGGCCCTCTTGGAGACATCTTGGGCCGTCTTGATGCAATCTTCGCTGCTTGGGGCTATCGTGGCCCGTCTACGAGGGCTTACGAGGCCGTCTTGGTAAGCTCGGGACGCGGACGCATAGTTCTGTTACGAGGCTTTGGGCCTCGGGAGCAGGGGGGGCGCATGCAAACTGTCTGGTAGTAGAGGATGTGTGTGTGCCCCGTATTAGAATGCAAAGCCCTGCAGAGCAGCACCTGGCATTCTAACGTGCACACATCGTACAGGCACGGGGGCGGATTAGCCTCATTTCGCATGGAGACCCTTTACGGGTTTCGAATGCAGCGGGGGTTCAAAGATCAGGCCCGATTATTTGTGTCTGTATCTGCACCACTCCCGCCGGGTCTCGGCCGAGGTGGTGTCATGTCGATGTCGTGTTCTTTGGGTGCCTCGTCTGCTCCGGTGGGATTGTCTGCGCACTTCTCCGCCCGGTCTGGGACGTATCGATGTCAGTCGGGAGCTTCGAGACGGGGGTCAATGCAAACGGGGGTCAGCCAGAGCGCCCGATCTTGCAGGATCCTGCAGGGCCAGGCTCGCATTGACCCGGGTTTGGGTGCAGGATCTTGCAGGATCCTGGAGGATCCTTCGCATTGACCCGGCTTTGGGTGCAGGATCTTGCAGGAGTTTGCAGGATTTTGCAGGCCTGACTGACCCGGGTCTGGAATGACCGGGGTCATGAGATCCCCGAGTCATGTCGATCTTGTGGTGTCACGGTGCCAGTGTCAGCGTAGGTTGGCGGGGCTTCTTGCTACGGCAGTGTCCGGGGCAAGGTTACGGGGATTGCGGCTCAGGGGTGCACGCATCGACCCCCACGCGCCGACTAACCGCCGCTCGGGGCCCGACAGCCCACTCCGTCCAGGAGCGTGCTGACTCGCTATCCGGGCCCATGGCCGACCTATCGGCGGTACATCGCCGACTCCAGATCGGTGTCCTCCCCTGACCCTGACCCTGCCACCCCCCCCCCACCTGCTGTTTCCCCTCAGCCCCTGGGCGAGCAAAATATTGCCTCCTTGTCGCCAATAGGCACCGGAGGGGGCCGAGGCCCTCTCTAGGGTCCCTCGGCCAACGATAGCGACCGCAGGGAGGGGTGCCAGCTGACCTCCACAACTCTAACCTCAATACCCGTAGACTGGGCGGCGAGCCTGGGGGGAAGTGGGAAGGAGCGGGGTGTCTCAGAAGGCTCGGAAGCCTCCTGGCCTTCCCCGACGACGCAGACAACCTCTCAGAAGGCACCAGGGCTTCCGAGAAGCCCCGCCGCCTCCTGAGGAGGCCTTCTCCTTCTCACTTCCCCCCCTCACTCGCCGCCGTATACGCCAATTTCCACCAGCCAGTGTTTTTCTAAGCCTCCCAGATGGGGTCGTAGCAGATGGGGTCGAAGGACTGAGCCGCATCGCCGATGCATCGCCGATGCGGCTCGATGTGGACCTGATTTTATACACGCCGGCTGCGCCGATGCGTCGCCGACGTCGCCGGTGCATCGCCAATGCATCGGCGATGCATCGCCGATGCTTCGGCGATGCGACGCGATCCTCCGAACCCATCTACTTCGACCCCACCCCCACCTTGGAGGTCTCCACTCTTACTTCCCCCTCGCTCGCCGCCGATAGACTCCAACTGCCGCCAGCCAGTGTTCTCCTCCTTCCGCGCTGTCCCTTCCCCTCAGGGCGAGGGGCCCCGCCCACGCCACACTCGCGGCAGGGTCCCCGCGGTGCGTCTGGGCTCGGAGCGGCCCGGGTGCGGCGGCGGACCCGGCCGGGCAGCTGGAGAGCGGGCGCCGGGAGGCTTTTCTCGCAGGCAGCCCCAGAGATCCGAGTGTGTAGGGATCGTCTTCTTACTCATTGGTTTCCCGATCGGCGCGGGCCTTTCCCCCCCCCCCCTCGTCCCCCCCATGAAGTAGATCCTGGCTGTTTTCGACGCCTGTGTCAAGCAGGTGGAGTCTCCCCCATGGGGCGCACTTTTTTGCAAACAGTCGCATTGAGCAGAGGTCCGGAGCCAGATTTTTTTTTTTCGTCCCCCCTCCCATTCCTTCCGCCCAGTGTCGAAACGCCGAATAAGGGAACGTTCGCATCATGTTTTCCATCCGGCGTTTTTTCTGTGATTTCGGCCTCCGGGGCCCGCTATCGGGCTCGGGGGCCGTCACAGGTGGATCCGGGACTCGGGAGAAGCCACCCCAGGGGAAGGGGTCGGGGGGCCTGGGGTCTGGGGCCGCGGATGGAAAGACGCATATGGTGGCGGATTGGCTGGGGTGTCAGCTGGACTCGACCCAGAACAGCAGAGGAACGAGTGACCTGTAGATGTCGGGCTCATCCGGCCCGAGTCGACTTCGGGTTCCGATCTGGCCTTCGGTTCCTCCACTCGGCGGCGTGCCCGGGGGGGAAGTGAGAAGGGGCGGGCCTTCTCAGAAGGCTCGGAGGGCCCTCGGCGTTCTGAATAGTTTTCTAAGCTTTCGCGGAAGACAGACGAAATGCCTTTCAGAAGGCGCGAGGGCTTCTGAGAAGCCCCACCGCCTTCTGAGAAGGCCTTCTCCTTCTCACTTCCCCCCCTCGCTCGCCGCCGATCGACGAAAGCTTAACCAGCCGACTGGCCTGCCGATTCCGCCAATCCGACTTCCCCCGACTTGGCTGCCGATTTCCGCCAAAGTGGTTCGTTTCGATCGCCGAGCCGACTCGTCGATTCGATCCTGGGTCCGATCCTGTACGAGTGAGCCGCGCAGCGCGCCCTGGGCGCAAGGCTTTGACGAGGTTGGTATAGCGTTAGGTCGGGCTTGTCCCCCTGCAGGCGGATCTGGGGCGACAGATGTTGCAAGCAAATCCAAGACATACGCCCATAATGTTTTGAAGATAGACGAGCCATCGTCCCCAGACTATTTCCCCACCATTTCGAAAGATCCCTCCTGTAGATGCGGCGGGCCCGACTTCAGCATCACGTCTGGGTCGGCCCGATGTCCGACCCGGCCGCCCGAGTTACGGGGCCCACCCGGGCCTGGCCGCCGACGTAGGGGTCCGCCCGGGCCGCACCCTGGCGCTCGTGCGGCTCGACCCGCCGGCCAGCTCGCTCGCTTCACATTCGAGTCGGTCGTGCCCCTCTGCAGCAGGGATGTTCAAAAATAGTCGAACAGTAGCTCTGCACGATTGTTTGCTTGATTCTTGCCATTTCTGGAGCATGCTATGGCTATGTTTTTTTTTTCGTCCGACAGCCTCCTGTAGGAGGACATGCCCGACCTAAATTTGAAATTATCAGAGGAGGGAAAGGTACAGTAGGCTCGCGTCGTGTGGACAGGCGGCGGCCCCGCCGCCAGCGTTCCGTGTCGAACGCCGCCGGCGATTCAGAGTCGATCGGTGCCGAACGATCTGGCATTTCGGAGACGGCCGATCGTTCAAGCTTATCGGGGGCGGAAAAGAGGGGGGTGATGACTAGGGGGGGTGGATATCATGGCGTGGCCCATGATATTTCCCCAGATTTCATGGCGCCTCTTCTTATTTCATTACGTCCCTGGCGCCCCCGCGGGGCCGCGCACATGCCGCCGGTCATGATTTGCACCCCCCCCCTCTTGGACACACCCCTCTTGGCCGCTCCCGAGATTAGCGATCCCCGTGGTGTCATAAACCAGCGCCAGGGTCGACAGGACACGAGCCTGCCGTACCCATACCACTGCCTTTCCCTTGCTTTTCTCTGGTGAGGCCTCCTGAGAAGCCCTCGTCGCCACCGCTGGATTCGCCTCGAAATTCTGGTCACAGCGCACACCAGGAGAGTGCATGGGGAGTAGCTGTGGTATTGGTACCGTGTGGTATCCCCACATGCGGGGCACGATCGAGGACGACGAGGGCGCAGCCGAAGGCTTGAAGTGTACATGCTGGGCCAGCACGCGAGCAGGTGAGGACCATCCGTATTTCAGGTTGGGGGGAGGAGGGAGGGCTTCTCAGAAGCACCCCTGCTTCTTAGAAGCGCGGGCCTTATTTATAGATGCAAGGCCCGCGCCTTCTAAGAAGCAGCCTCCTTTAAGAAACCCTTCCACCTTCCTCCACCCCCTTGTGCGCGCCGCCAAGTATTGCAACGGTTGTTGTCCTGTGTCGACCGTCACCAATGTAAAGTGCGATGAAGTCCTAAGCGGCAGCGCGACTCCTGAGCGCGAGGGCATCCGTGGCCATGGCGCCTCCGAGTAGAAAGCGGTGCTTCTGCGGCTGGGCCGGCACCAAGGACAGCAAATTTTGGAGAAGTTTTGTGCGGGGGGTGGTGCTCGTCCACCTGGGGCTCATTTCGATCCGATCGATCCGATTCGATATCGATTCGGCTGGCTCGATCCAGTTCAAACCCGACGGTCCGCCGATCCGATGCGGCCTGAGTCATGCATGGTGCTTTTGTGCATCCTGGTGCGGCCGATCCTCTTCGATTTCCACTCCGTGCCGATGCGGCCCGATCCGACTCTAGCTTTGATGCGATCGGGTTTCCCGTTTCGATGCAAACTGACCCCTTCCGCGCGTTCTTCTGCTGCTCTCCTCCAGTCCTCTGCCGCTGAAGTGGTCTGGCTCGCCAGGCAGCCGGTGTGGAAGTACATGTGTCCAGGTCGGAGTTGTGTACACCTTAGGCGATGCTTAAGAAAACTTAAGTTTTCGGCCAGAGTCTCGATTATTCTTACTGTTTCAATTCAATTCCTAAGATTTTGATAGAAACGTTGGGTTTTTATTCCAGATCTGAGACGATGAATTTCTTAACCCATGATTTCTAAAGCATTTCGCAGGGTATAGCTCAAGTGCAACGCTGGGGAAGCTAGGGTAAGGAGGGGAGGCATCGATCCCGAGTCGCCCACTGGTCGCCGAGAGGGACCTGCGCCCGCCCTGCCCGGGGCCGTGCGGATTCGCTGTGGGAGCCTATCGGCGAGGCGTTGCCAATTCGAGCTCTGCGACCCCCCCCCCCTCGGAGTCGTTTAAACAATCCCCATCCCCATCCCCATCCCCTTCGAGACCCTCACCAAGTCACCCCCCAGTTGGGGATGCACCCTTCGAGACCCGAAGGCAACGACCTACATCCCCATCTGGGGGGGTAAATCGGCCAGTGGGGCCCAGGCCACGCCGCTGGGGATGGGGATCGGTGAAACGATACTCACCCCCTGAGCCGGTCCCCCCTGACGTTCCCCCTCGAGGTGACGTCGCGGGCTGGGGTCAGCCGGATCACAGGTGCCCGCAGCCGCAGACGCCATTGTTGGGGAGCAGCGGGGCGTCGGCCGGGCCGTCGGGTTTTCCCAGGGTGCTCGCGCTAGCTCTCGGGCTCTTCGCGGGTGTTGCCAGAAGTTCCCCTGGCCCAAGGTGCCCCCAGGATTCTCTGGGCGGCCCCCACGGCCTCCAGGGCACCCCTCACGAGGCCCAGAGGACCCTAGGGGCTCCAAAGTGTAGCGAGAAGCTGGGGGCACCTTGGGCCAGGGGCACTTCTAGGAACGCCCGATCGTCGAGCCCTCCATGGCGCCTGACGTCGGTGGCGCGTTCGATGCCACAGGGGGCTGGCGTCATCGATGGCCCCCGCCCTTGGCCGACGCCGAGGGGGAGGGAGTGCACTACAGTCAACGCGCATAGTAGGGACGCGCGCCTTCATCAAGGGTGCCCTCGTGTCCTTGCCTCTGCGGCCCGTCCTTTGCCAATTTCACTGGTCGCCCGCCGCCCAAAAAATCCAACTTCGGCCTCCAAGGGTCTTGCGTCCTTGCCGCCCGTCCTTCATACGCGTTTTGACTGCAGCTCTTGGGTGAAAGGCAGACCCAGACGGAGGAAGGGGGGAAACAGAGGGAACTGCCAACCTCCTTTCTCCTCCCTGCTCCCTCCTCCCTCCTCCTCTCCCTTCCTCCTCCCTCCTCCTCTCTCTCCTCCCTCCCTCATCACCTCCTCCTCCCTTCTCCCCTCCTCCTCTCCCTCCTCCCTCCCTCTCTCCTCTTCTCTCCTCCCTCCTCCCTCCGCGGGAGCGGGAGCCGCCTTTCCGCCGGTGCAGGCCTGGGGCGTCGAGCCCAGCCCGTACCTGGACACCGGCAAGAAGGGCTCCCGCCTCGGCTCTGCCAGCGGAGGAGGAGGCGGAGGAGGAGGAGGAGGCGGAGGAGGAGGAGGAGGAGGAGGAGGAGGAGGAGGAGTTGGAGCCCCCGCAGTGTTGACATGCACGACTTCCGTTCTCCCCGTCCCATCTCCTTTTGGTTGACGCGCAAGGCTTCGAAGTTCCGAAATCGTGGCCGGGGCGTGAGTGGTTGAGCCATCGTGCAAAAACAGGCTGCGTCTTCTAATATGAGCCCAAAGTTCCTGACCGCTGCTTCGTAATCCCAACGGGGGTCCTGAGTGGACCGCTGGCATTGCCAGCAGATTGCGAAGTGGTGGTTAGGTCTGTTTGGGTACAGTGCCGTTTTTTTCATACATGCTCCGCGTGCGGATCATGTACAACAAATGCAGGGATGTAGTATGAAAAACAACGACAAGTCCATGCATACATTTATTCCTAAATTAATCATGTATGAAATTCCAATAATTAAACACATCCCATGTATTAAAAACTGCCCTGTAGCTTCTAACCGCGCAAGCAGACAGCAGGAACCACCATCACGCTGACCACCAAATCATTCATTCTGACAAGATCCGCCATGAAGCAAACGGGTCATGATCAAGCAGTGGCGAAGCGTCTCGGCTCGCCATGGAGCGATCTGTCAGCCACTGAGAGCCTTCTTGGATTATCTTGGGAGTTTGTGTGGGCCTTGTTGGCCCGTTCGGGGCCCGCCTAGCAGGCTTCTTGGGATGTGCTGTGCTCCTTGTGCAGGCCGTTCGAGGGCAGTCTGGATGGCGTCCGGAACCTGTGTGGGCCGATTTTGGGAGCCGTTTTGGCCGTCTGGGTCGTGGGGGCACCGGAAAAGCGAGAACACCGAAACACACATTGACAAAAAGAGCCTCTTTTTTCAAGTCTGGGCGATACCCCTCGTGATCGCCCCCGCCCTCCCCCCCCGATCACGTCACGCTGTTTTCCCCACATGTCTCAAGGAATCTTCCAGGATTTCGAGAGAATATCGAGGGGTTCCCAGGAATTCGTCGTCGTCGCTGTTGTCCGCGAGCGGGAGGAGAAGGAGGAAACCAGATGCTTTCGAGGGATAGTTCGAAGGATTTGTGTAGGGGATGTCTCGAGCGAAACGCTGGTTCTTAAGCGAAACGCTTGGGCCATCTTGGAGGTAATCCGAGATCGCTCCGAAAGATGCCTTACAAGAGCGCTTGGCGCATCCCATTTTTGTCGAGGATGTCTCAGGCGAAACGCTCATTGTTGGAGGTCCGCGACTTAGACCGACGATTTCAACATCCTTTTTTTCCGAGGATGTCTGCGGCGAAACTCCCATGTTTAGCAATCTACGTCTTGAGATACGACCCCCAACTTCATGATTTGGCGAGGATGTCTCAGGCGGAACGATAGTTTTTCAAACCTTTCCTGACATGAACGGGAAGTGCGTGAGAGGGAAGAGTTGCGCAAGAACTTGCAGCACCATCATCGCGATCAACCGGGAAGACGACGAACGGGGAAGAGTTGCGCAGAACGGCGAAGACGACGACCGGGGAAGAAGGGAGAGGGGGAGGAGCAAGAGGAGGAGGAGGAGGAGGAGGAGGAGGAGGAGGAGGAGGAGGAGGAGGAGGAGGAGAGGAGGAGGAGGAGGAGGAGAGGAGGAGGAGGAGGAGGAGGAGGAGGAGGAGGAGGAGGAGGCGGAGGAGGAGGAGGAGGGGAGGAGGAGGAGGGAGGAAGGAGGAGGAGAGAGGAGGAGGAGGAGGGAGGAGGAGGAGGAGGAGGAGGAGAGGAGGAGGAGGGAGGAGGAGGAGGTGGAGGAGGAGGAGGAGGGGGAGGAGGAGGAGAAGGAGCAGCAGCAGCAGCCAGCAGCAGCAGCATAATCTCAAGATGTTCCCAGGAATTCCTCCTCAATCTCCTCTTCCTCCTCTGCTCCCTCTCCCTTTTCCTTATCTCCTCCTCCCGAGGGCCCGGGGGTTCGAAAAAGGCCCCGGGAGGCCGAAACCAGCCGTGATGTGATCGGTGGGGGCCAACCCCCCCCCGATCACGCCCGTTATCGCGGATAATAACAACAGGCTCAAACCAACGAACATCAACGAATGCTTGCCTCGGGGGGCCCCCGTGGGTGCCTTTTATGGAGGTATGTGGGGCCTTTTTTGGGGCAGCTTGGGCCGTTCCGACGGCACCTGCAGTGTCTTGGAACGATCTTTCGGGTACCCGGGGCCTTTGGGACCATCTTCGGGGTCTTTTTGGGGTCCTCTTGGACCGTCTTGGGCGCCTCTTGCGCCGTCTTGGGCGCCACTGGGGCCCTGTTGAGGCCCTCGCAGGCCGTCTGGAGGCCGTCCTGGAGGCCTCTTGGGCCTTCTTGGGGCGGTCTTAGGGGTCTATTGGGGCTGTCTCAATGCTGTGAATGCCGAAACGTCGCATATGCTCAAAATGCAATTTGTCCTCAAGGAATTTGGCGGTTTTTGCCTCGTGGGGCGATCTTCGGAGTGATCTTGGAGGCACTTTGGGGCGACATGGGGGCATCTTGAATCGTCTGGAGACTTGTGTACGCGTCCTGGAACGATTCGTTCAGCGATCCGGGGTCTTCATGGGCCGTTTTGGGGGCCTCTTTGGGTCCTTTTGGATCGTGCGGGAGCCCTCCTATACCCCCATGATGGTTCCCGCGGAAGGGGGAGTCAAAGTGCCAGTTTGGGGCCGCTGGGCCGTTCGAGGGCCGGCTGGAAGGCGTCTGGGGCCGTGCGTTCGTGCCGGGCCGGGGGGGGGGGATTGGGGTCAAAATGCCTGTTTGGGGTTCCTCGGGGGGGATGGTGGGGGGGGACGAGTGTCACGCGCGCTTGATGATCAGTTCTGGTTATCTTCAGGAGGGGTCCTCTGACCCAGGTCAAGGAATCTGTGTGTGGGTTGGGAATAGAATTTTACATGCCTGAAGACCCATACCGGGGAAACGTAAGACTCGAGAAAGCCAGAACTCGGGTTAGCCGACGTTTTTTGACCAGCGCGTCCTGGATTTTGACGGTCCAGTGATCGTGGGATGCTTGCAGCGGGAGCTCACGTCAAATTTCTGATTGGGTCTCGCCATTTTTTACGATGGCCCCGTCAGGCCAACCCGAGTCCCCCGCACCCGAGTCTGACGTCTCCTCGACCATAGGGGTCGGCGGATACGAAGCGGGCCGTCGGGCGGGGTGGCACGGTGGGGTGCTTAATGACTAGTTTCGGTTCTATTCGGGAGGGGTCCTGTGATCTAGGCCACGGAACTCGCCGTGGCCGAGGCCCACCGTAGCCACAGAGCCCCCCCTTTCATATTCTTTGCTTGGCATTCCTCACGCTAGTACGACGGCGGTATCTTCTGTGAGGAGGAGGAGGAGGAGGAGGAGGAGGAGGAGGAGGAGGAGGAGGAGGAGGAGGAGGAGGAGGAGGAACCCACTTCATTCTCCGCTTGGCGTTTCTCACGTAAGTACGACGGCCATATCTCCAGGGGAACGAGCAGTGACATACACATGCAAATTCGGAGGTCCGCGTGGAGTTCTCGGATCGGCGCTGGACCCCCCTCGCTGGCGCGCGGAGCGCGCCAGGGTCGGCGCTGGAGGCGCCGCCAGGGGGTTCCGGCGCCGATCCGAGAACTACGCGCGGACCTCCGCTTTTGCATGTTTGTGTCACTGCTCGCTCCCCAAAGCTTCAGTGAAGTGACCCAGCGTCCGAATTAGGTTTTGGTCGCCCCGCTCCGAGAACTCTGCGCGGACCTCCGCTTTTGTATGCTTACGTCGTTGCTCGTTCCCCAAGTCTTCAGTGCAGTGACCCAGCGTCCGAATTTGGTTTTGGTCGCCCCGTTCCGAGAACTCTGCGCGGACCTCCGCTTTTGTATGTTTATGTCTTTGCTTGTTCCCCGAATCTTCCAGTGCAGTGACTCAGCGTCTGAATTCGGTTTTGGTCGCCCCGCTCGTGGCCTCTGCCGTGGCGACGGGGGCCGCAGCCAGGGAAGCCCGGGCCACGGCCGCGGCCACGCTCGTGCGTTTTTGCGGCGGGCCGGAGGCAACGTCTGGCAGCCGTGGCGTTCGACGATGTCTTCGGGCAAGCCGTGAGCGACGGCAGCCTCACGATCAAGATCGAAGACCGATTTCTGACCACGTCCACCTCTGGATCCTCGATTCTATGATAGGCCCTCGGGTGTGGAAGTGGGTAGTCTTGCCTTCCCCTGGGGCGGGGAAACTGCCCACCTCCACCTCTGGAAACCGCCTTTCGCAAGGCACCTCGGGAAGTGGGTGTGGTCAGACATCGGTCTCCTACAAGATCGGAGGGTTCGCCTCCGCAAGAGCGGATGCTCGCAGGGAAAGTGCTGCTTCCGGATCAGTTCCCGCCAACATGTCATATTCTAGTACCTGACAGGGGACGAGTCGCTAGGCGCACAGCAGTGGAATCCTTTGCCACATCTGCGTGATGGATTCCCCCTCCCCCCGTTATCTGCTTCTCCTCCCCTAAACTTTCTATTGTAGCAGAACCCCCTCCCTCCCACTAGCTCCTCCCATTCCTCTCAGGGGGCAGGTAAAATGGACTGGAGCAGAGGGAGGGTGAAGGGTCTCATGAGCTCGGTGGTTTCAGGGCGTTGGGGGGGGGGCTCTGGAGAGCTCCGCCGGACGTTTTCAGAAGTCTCCAGAAGCCCCCAGCGGCTCTTGAAGGCACAGGAATCGGGTGTTGCTAGAAGCACCCGTCGGCTCGAGGTGCCCCCAAGATTTCCGAGGAGGCCCCCACGCTCTCCCCAGAGCACCCCTCACGAGGCCCCGAAGGCCCCGCGGGCTCCAACATGAAACGAAACTTGGGGGCACCTTGGGGCCAAGGGCACCGGTAGCACCCCCCGGCCCAGGGGCTCCCAAAGGCACAGAACGTACCACTCAAACGATCACACATTGTGATCTTTTTTCTTCACCATTGTTTTGCCGATCGGCGCGGGACCCACAAACCCCCCTTCCCCCCCGTGGAGTAGATCTTGGTTGTTTTTTGGCGCCCGTTTCGAGCAGGTGGAGTTTCCCCCACAGGACGCACGGTCCCAAACAGTCGCACTAAGCAGAGGTCCGGAGCCAGACCGCCCCCCCCTCCCCCCCCGTGTCGAAACGCCGAATATAAAGACGTTCACAAGGCACAGAAAGTACCAAACAAACGTTTAAGCATTTGGATCCTCCTGCTGCCGAGGCAAGACCTACGGCATCCGCGGCGAAGGCCACGGCGAGTGGGAGTTCGACTTCGACACCGGCCCCGTCAAGATGACGATGGCCCTCTCGCCCCCGTCCGTTTTTGTTGAGCGCTCCTCCTCCTCCTCCTCCTCCTCCTCCTCGTCCTCCCGTGTTTTTTCCACCCCATCCCAACCCGAAGGCCCGAATTGGCCCTCCACTCCCAGGGGGGGCGTCGGGTAACACTGAGAAGAGCACATCTGGAAGCCGTGCCCCCCCCCACACCACAGCCCGAGAGTTGGGTCTTCGAGTTGGGTCGGGGTGGTCTGGCGAGTGGTCGCCTCGATCCTCCCGTGTCTGCGCCTTCTCTCCGAGTCCAGGCCTGCTCTGGGGACTCGGAGGGCCGCCCAGGATCCAGCGCGGCTCGGTCAGACTGGCTCGTCGGAGGTCTGGGCCTGGAGGAGCAGTAGCAGGAAAAATACGATTCGGATGGGTTTCTTTCATAGGTATTGTTGATTCTCCTATCCTACTTGGAGGGCCCTCGCCGCCACGGTCAGAGTAAGCTCGAAAGCGCTGGTCGCAGCGCGCCCCGGGAAAGGTCTGGGGGCTGGTTGCGAGGAGGAGGAGGAGGAGGAGGAGGAGGAGGAAGCGAGAGCTCCTCTTTCTGTCTGTCTGTCTGTCTGTCTGTCTGTCTGTCTGTCTGTCTGTCTGTCTGTCTGTCTGTCTGTCTGTCTGTCTGTCTGTCTGTTGGTCTGTCTGTCTGTCTGTTGGTCTGTCTGTCTGTCTGTCTCTGTCTGTCTGTCTCTCTGTCTCTCTGTCTCTCTGGCCCTCTGGCTCTCTGGCCCTCTGTCTCTGACTCTATCTTTCTCTCCCTTTGTGTGTTTGCTCTCTCTCTCTCTCTCTTTTTCTCCCTCTCTCTCATGCATGGGCTATTACTGCTCCGCGCCTCGCTGTAGTCCTCGGTCCATCTAGCATCTCTGCCCCTCTTCCCCTGGCGCTGCGTGGGCCGTTCGAGTGATGGGAACCATGCCTGGGACCCCGGGTGGACGGTGGAGGGTCGCGAATCTCGAGTGCCTCTGGAAGGGCCCCCGGGACGCCCTCGGGAGCTTTCTAGGCGGGTCCGCGACTCGCGCTTCGCTTTTTCTGTGCCGTCTGGGACGGGGCGTGTACACCTTAGGCGATGCTGAAGAAAACTTAAGTTTTCGGCCAGGGTCTCGATTATTCTTAACGCTTCAATGTAAATCTTAAGATTTTAATGGACATGTTGGGTTTTCATTCAAGTTCTGAGACTATGAATTTCTTAACCCATGATTTCTTAAGCATTTCGCAGGGTGTAGCGTTGGCAATCTTGAGCCGTGGGGCACTTGGCCCGGAGTCCGGCCGATGGTCGGGCGCCCCTGGGCGGACCCTCTGGCGACCGGGGGGGAGGAGGAGGAGGTTTGGGAGTCAGACGGGATGGGATCAGGGGGAGTAGGACGAGGAGACGAGGAGGAGGAGGAGGAGGAGGAGGAGGAGGAGGAGGGAGGAGGAGGAGGAGGAGGAGGAGGAGGAGGAGGAGGAGGAGGAGGAGGAGGAGGAGGAGGAGGAGGAGGAGGAGGAGGAGGAGGAGGAGGGAGGAGGAGGAGGAGGAGGAGGAGGAGGAGGAGGAGGAGGAGGAGGAGGAGGAGGAGGAGGAGGAGGAGGAGGAGGAGGAGGAGGAGGAGGAGGAGGAGGAGGAGGCGGAGGAGGCGGAGGAGGAGGAGGAGGAGGAGGAGGAGGAGTGTGAGCAGAAGGGGATCAGAGGGATGAGGAGGAGCAGGCGGAGGCAGAGGCGGAGGAGGGAGAATGAGCTGGCGGATGGGGCGGAGGGGTGGGGACCCCCCCAGAGTTATACCCCCTTTCCCCGCATCAGCCAGTGAAAAGCTGAAACTTCAAACGAAGGGAGAATGAGGAGCCAGATTTTCAACGGATCGTGAATGAGTCAAATGAGTTTGTGTACACACGCATTGTCTTGGGGTGACAGGGGAGAAGCCCCAGGGGCGTGGACCCAACCTCCCCTATGGGGGGCGTGAGTGACCCGGGGGGGCTCAGAGGGCTCCAAGATATAGTTTCAAGGTGGCTCTCAAGCTGCCCAGGAGGGAACCTAGAGGGGGACCCCCCCGAACAGACATTTCGAGCCTTCCGGCTCACGATTGCCCAAAGAGCCCACCAGACGCGTCCAAGGTGCTTCCAAGAGGTTCCAAGAGGTACCCAACAGGTTTTTTTTTGGAGTGGGTTGGGGGGGAAGACCAACCAGGTCCTTGAGATGCCCCCCCAAAAGGCTCCCATGAGCTCCTCCCAAAGCTCTCCGAGGGGCATCGCCATGGGTTAAGGGTTAATAGATATGGTTCGCAGCATGTGCAAGGAGCGAGAGTCTCCCAATGAGACGTAGAGCGAGAGGACAGCGTACCAGGCAGGAACAGATGAGCATCACACTTTTAACTAAATCGTATGTATGGTGTGTTCATGAAGCCTTGCGAATGGCATAGGTGAAACCTTCAGTTTTTTTTGTTTTTTGAGAAAATTCAGTGTTCGCGTGGATGGTTTCACAGCTGGCTAACTTCTTGTTTTTGGGTTGCCTGGGGGCAGTTATAGATAGATGTTGTACGGTTCAATACATTGGTCGATGCACGATCGCAAAAGGGGTGTACCCACGGACTGGTCTATCTTTCGTTCGGCCGTGCATTCGCAGGGGTGTATGGACTTATACGTGCATGCTTGTAGGACAAAGCAGGAACGTGTTGGAACCTGAACGCGCGCGCGAAACGCGCGTGGTTCTAGCATACACGCACACCTGTGCAGCAAACGCGCGTACATACATAAACACATTCACACATATGTGTATATATGTGTGTGTGCGGCCAGCGTGAACCCAACATATTATGTTTCTAGCAATCCATGTGGGACTATTTATGTGGAGCTCTACCCGGTGCAACCAATATGGAGGTTTCTATGTGATGCAATACACTTGCCGAACTTGAAGTTGTCAAATCCACTGCTTGCGCAATCATCCCACCCACCCACTCGCAACTTGGTTTGCAAAACCCATGCGGGACCGAGCACGGATATCGCTCCGGGGTCGTCTTGGAGCCCTCGGGGGCGTCTCAAGAGCACCCCAAGAAGGCCGGAGAAGCAAGACGGCCGACGACGACGACGACGACGGCGGCGACGACGACGACGCCGACGTCGACGACGAAAGCGACGACGCCGACGCCGACGACGACGACGAAGACGACGACGACGTCGCCAACGAAGACGACGACGAGGGAGGAGGGAGGACGACGACGGCGACAACGACGACAACGACGACAACGACGACAACGAGGGAGGAGGGAGGACGGCGACGACGCGAACGACGAAGAAGGAGGAAGGACGGCGACGCCGACGACGACAACGACGAGGGAGGAGGGAAGACGACGACGAGACGACGACGACAACGACGACGACGACGGCGACGAAATAGGAGAGACGACGACGAGACGCCGACGACGGACGACGACGACGACGACGAGGGAGGAGGCGGAAGGACGACCACGGCGACAACGACGGAAACGACCACGACGCCAAAGAGGAGGACGACGACGACGAACACGAGGAAAGACACAGGACGACGCAGGCGACGACGACGACGACGCGGGAGGAGGGAGGACGGCGACGACGACGACGACGACGACGACGACGACGCCGCAAGAGCGTGCGCGCACGCTTTTGTTGAAAATCCGTGTTGCGGAACCTTGTGTGTGTGTGTGTTTTTTTTGGGGGGGGGACACACGGTTTTGAAATCCTTCGGAAACCGATGGGTTTTGAAGGATTTCGGCGTACGCGCGCGACGACGCGCGCGTCTGCACGTTCTCATTTTTGGCAGAGGATTCTCGCGACGGCACACGCGCAAGGGCGTTCGACAGATTTCGACATGTGCGCGCGCGACGCCCGTTTGGTAGCATGTTGTGAAAATCTTGAACAACCAATGGTTTTCTTAAGATTTCGCAAGAGCTCGCGCGTAAGCTTTTTTAGCAAATCAGTGTTACGAAACCTTGTGTTTTTGTATGTATTTTTGGAAGCTCGATTGCGAGCCCGATTTCGGCATGCGCGCGCGACGACGCGCGCGTGTGCACTTTTTCCCGTGTTTTGTAAGGGATTCGCGAACAAGTGCGATGTTAGAACAACGTGTCACCGCATCGTGTTTTTTACAAGGGAACCTCAGGGGGGGATACCGGCTGGCCTGGGACATTGTGATTTCATATTTAGGATGGACATGTGGTCAGAATCATATGTGATTTACATACCCGAGAGGGGTACCGATAACGCCGGGGAGTAGAGTTTATTTTCTTTTGAGAAAGGAGAAGATATGTGGTGCAGTTGGCTACCCTGCACCGCGCCTGACCACCGCCCGTGATCGTGCAATCATCCCACCCACCCAGCCGCAACTTGGTTCGCAAAACACTTGCGATGGTGATTGCGATGATTTCTTGGCGCTTTCTGGCGCATCGCTTTGGCCGCGCTAGCGCGCTCAGACTCGCCCGCAGAGCGGCCAGATAAGTAGTCTGGCGCGACCGACGCGGCCGCGGTGGCGCTGACCGCTGTGCACTTTCAGCGCGTTTCGCAGGCCGCGTTGACCCGTGTGCACTTGAGTGCGAGTCGGTGATTCGGGCGGGCGTTGTATCGTGGCGACGTCGACAACGGCAGACGCGACGATGGTACTAACGATGTTCGTGACCGTGCTGATTGTGCCGACGGCAACACCAAACATTACGCCGACGATGACCATCACAATGCCCTTGCGTCGGCGATGAAGGTTTCGGAATAATTTCGGTGTGCGCGCGCGGCCGACGCGCGCGAGAGGCCCGCATGGTATTACTTGACAGGGATCGTGCCCCCCCCCCCCCCTGCACGCGCGCAAGGACGCCCGAATGATTTCGACATGCGCGCGCGAGATGCCCGCTTGGTCGAACGTGTCAGAAGTAATGTCCCAACTCCATGGGATATTTCACATGATTTCGGGACAATCGGTTGTGAAACTTTATCGGAACCAATGTTTCTTGCATGATTTCGGCATGCGCGCGCGACGACACGCGCGTGTGGATGCCGTCCTGCTGTTTCGCCTTCTCTTGCAAAGTGATGGTTTGTGATAAACAAGCGCATGCGCTTTAAAGGTGTTGCAACGAATGACGGAACAAGTTGGTACCGGCCGGGATGGGATGGTATGGTTCCAACACGACAATGAAGGAGAAGGGAATGTTTGATGCACAAAGCAATACAACAGGCGAGCGTATACTCCAGGGGTGGGAGGGAGGCACAGTCATATTTGTAAATCGTGTTCAGGTTGTATTCGTCGATGTGCAATCGATCATGCGAGGTCTACGATGTTTCGTTTTATGTTGCACAATTTGTGTGGTGCCGTCCATGTGGAGCAAGCGATGTTGTATAATATACGTGGGGCAATGTTTGTGGTGCATAATTTGTGCCGCCAAGAATGTGCACCCATGTTTAATTTCATATAAGGATGCTCGTATGTACATATATATACATATATCTATATTATAGATTCAGATGCTGTGCAAGATATGTTGCGCAAACTTTGTTGCGTAGTATACGTGGTGCACTTTATGTTGTGCAGCTTGTGAATTGCAATATGTGGCGCACCAGACGTGATACAATATATGTTGAGCAATCTCTGCAGCGTAACCTGTGTAGTGCAATCTATGGTGCGCATTATGTGTCATGCAGTTTATGTTAAACAACTTACGTTCAGCAATACACGAGGTGCAATCGATATATGTATGGTGCATATTTATGTAGAGCTGTTTGTGGTGCGTTGTATGTACACCGATCGATCTTATGCAACCTATGTAATGCAATCGATGTGGTGCAACCTATGTGGTGCAATATTGGTGGTGCAGTTCGATGTTGTACAGTCTATGTCGTGTAATCTATGGTGTGCATTCTGTGTTGTGCAATCTCTGTTGTTGTGCACCCTGTATTGAGCAATCTATGTGGCGCAATCTAGTGTATGTTTCGTCACTATGTCCTGCAACCTAGGTGCCGGCGACGGGGTGTGGACGGCGGCAACATAGCCGCCAGCCCGTCAGACAGGCCGAGCTCCTCAGGAACAAAATGAGAACCCCTAAGTGCAACCACTGTTTAGTTTGGCCATTTGTGCTTGGATGCTCGGCTGTTTCAGAATAGCCCACCCACAACCATCCTGGGACGTCAAGTTTCTGGGAGTGGCACGTGCCCAGCGTACAGGGCCCCTGGCACCGCCACCCATAAAGGGGCATCACCGTCACCTCATTCACCTCATTTCATCGCTATCGCACGGGTACTAGTGCATTGCAAATATTCATATAATCATATCGCATTGCAGAACTTATGCGGTACTGCGTGTATATACGTATCTACGTATAAACGTATATGTATGTATGTATGTATGTATGTATGTATGTATGTATGTATGTATGTATATATATATACATATATTTACACATACACATGCATGTATGTATGTGTATACATCTACATACATATATACACATATTTATGTATGTGTATGCATGTATGTATGTATGTATGTATGTATGTATGTATGTATGTATGTATGTATGTATGTATGTATATATATACACATACATATACATCTCTATATATATATATATATATATATATATATATATATATGTATATATAGGGACGTGGCCGCGGGAGGCATGGGGGGCCCAGGGCCTCATTTTCATGTGTTTTTACATGGTTTCGGCCACCCAGCGCCACCAGGGCCCCAGGGGACGTGGCCGGGCGCGTTCCCGCCCAGGGACCTCGGCAGGGCATGGGGGGCCTGGGGCCTTACTTTCCTTGTGTTTTTTTTACATGTTTTCGGCCACCCGGAGCCACCAGGGCCTGGGGGACGTGGCGGGGGGGTCCCGCCCAGGGACCTCGGCGGGGCATGGGGGGCCCGGGATTTTATTTTCCGTGCTGTTTTTTACAACGCTCCGCCGGCCCAGAGCCACCAGAGCCCCAAGAGGTTGCAGGGAGCTCCAGGGGCTGCTCCCGCCTGGTGCCCCAGGTCTCCCACAGGCCCCCCATAGGCCTCCAGGAAAGCTCCCCGAAACTCGCACACTTGGTTTTCCCATAGTTTTTTTCCCACGTTTCTCTCCGTGCAGCCTGTTCTGCATCCCCACGCTGCGCGGCAGCCCCAGAGGACGCCCCAACCGTCCCGGTTCGGCCCCAGACGCTCCCAACCTTGTCCCCAGATGGCTCCGCATGAGAGGATCGGCGCGCCCCAGTAGGGTCACAGAGCGGCCGGGGACGCTCCAAGATCCCTGCGACGCCGACGATCACCCCAAGGCAGCCCCCCGAGCGACTTCGTCGACACGTCATGCTTCCAAGAGGCCTCCCCAGCTGGTTCTCTGAGGCCTTACTCTTTGTGTGCATTTTTTTTTGTGTGTGTGTGTGTGTGTTTTCCCCCTTTTCTACGTTTTCGCTCATCCAGCTTGTTTTGCACCCCTCGCGCACGGCAGCCCAAGAGGACGTCCAGACCGATGTGTGTTCGGGCCCCTGGGGCTCCCAACCGTGATCCAAGACGGCTCCGCATGGGAGGGCCCGCGCCCCCAAGTAGGCTCCACGAGTCGCCAGAATCGCTCCCAGGCCTGCGCGACGCCGACGATCGCAGACAGCCCCCCGAGCGACTTCGTCGACGCGGCATGCTTCCAAGAGGCCCCCCTGGAGGGCTCTCTGAGGCTTTGTTCCTTTTTTTCTCCCCCCAGGTTTTTTGTTGTTCGAAAAAAACGTTTTCAGTCATCCAGCTCGTTCTGCATCCCCACGCTGCGCGGCAGCCCGAGAGGGCGCCCGGGCCGATTTGGCTCGGGCCCCTTGGGCTCCCAACCGCGATCCAAGACGGTTCCGCATGGGGGGGCCAGCGCCCCAAAGTAGTTAGGCTCCTCGAGCTGCCAGAGTCGTCTCCAGGCCTGCGCGACGCCGACGATCGCCCCATGGCAGCTCTCCAGGCCACCTCGCAGCAAAAGAAGCTTCCTAAAGGCTTCCTACAAGGGCCCCCCCCCAGAGGCTCAAATCCTAGCTTTCCCAATGGTTTCTGCGAGGTCTCTGGCCGCCCAGCCTGTTCTGTTTCTCGACGGTGCAAGCCCGTCCCAGAGGTCCCCAAGACTGCCCCGCTGCGGTTCCAGAGGCTCCCAACCGTGCCCCATGACAGCACCAGGGGGCACCCTGGCGGCTGAAGCGGCGCCAGCGAGGAGCCCCGAACACCCCAGCACGGCCGACTAGGGCCACAAGAAGAGCCTGGGGGCCTTCGCGGTCGCCAGGGGCGGTCTCGACACTGCGGATTGCGTCTCGACGTCCCACGACCGAACCAAAAACCTGTCACAGAACTCAAAGGACGAAAACGAGAAGGAGGACGAGGACAAGGAGGGGGGGAACGATGAGGACGAGGAGGGGGGACGGGGGAAATGGATATGGAGGAGGAGGAGGAGGAGGAGGAGGAGGAGGAGGAAAAGGAGGAGGAGGAGGAGGAGGAGGAGGAGGAGGAGGAGGAGGAGGAGGAACGGACGAGGACGAGGAGGACGAGGAGGAGAGGGCGGAGGAAAAGCGGAGGAGGGAGGAGGAGGAGGAGGAGGAGGAGGAGGAACAGGCACGAGGTGAAGGGGGTGTGGGGGGGGTGCGTTTTCCTGTGCGTCGTCGTCGTCCTCTTTGTCCTCCTCACCATCCTGCTCCTCCCATCCTTCCCCTGGTCCTCCTGCACCTGCTGCTGCTGCTGCTCCTGCTCCTGCTCCTGCTACCCCTCCTGCTACTCATCCTCCTGCTCCTCCTCTCCGCCCTGCCCTGCCCGCCCCCCCCCTCCCCCGTATCACCCCCGCTCCTCCTCCTTCTCCCCCTCCTGCTCTTGCTCCTCCTCCCGCTCCTGCTCCCGCACCTCCTCCTTTGATGCTGCTCCTCCCCTGCCCCTCCTCCGCCTCCTCCTCCTCCTCCTCCTCCTCCTCCTCCTCCCCCTCGTGCTCCTCCCCGTTCTGCTCTTCCTCCTCTTGGACGTGGGGTCTTGGGGCCGCATTCGCGGGGCCGAGGAGGGATCCAGGGATCGTGGAAGATTCCAGGGGCCGAAGATGGGTCTACAGGAGTCAACGCGGGTCCCCGGAGCCAGGGGTCCGAAGCCCAAGGTCCAGAATCCATCAAGGGCGGGCGAAAAGGAGGTGGACGAGGAGGAGGAGGAGGAGGAGGAGGAGGAAGAGGCCAGGGAGGAGACGAAGGCGAACGAGGACGAGGGCGGGCGCGAAGACAAAGGGCGAGGAGGAGGGCGACAACTATGACGAGCAGGGGGAGCGTCCGGGCAGTTTTCTGTTGGGGCCCGGGTTTCGTTCCCCCTCCCTGGGTTGGATTTGCCGCTCCGGTTCGGTCTGTATCGGTTTGGTTCGGCCCCATACGGTCCACGAGCGATTTTGGTTCGGTTTGGTCCGGGTCTTTACCGCGACCATTTCGGTTCGGTTCGATTCGTCTTGGAGGGGACGCTGGCTCGCGGCCGTCAGGCAGTTCTGGAACAATCCTGCAATGAAACACTGCGACGGAGTTACGCCAGGAAGGAAGCAACACAGTACGACATTTCCAAGGTTCCAGGAGGGTCGGCCGCCAGGACCCTCTGGAACGAGATCCGCTGTCGATGGCGCTGCTTGCCGTGGCATCTTTGGCGCCATGATGCCGCGACTAGAACCTGAGCGCGCGTAGCGCGCGCGCGTGGTTCTAGTATGTATACATGTGAATGTATATGTATCGATCGTCTGTACTACAGGGCTGCCGTGCTATTAGAGTATTGTACTGGGATTGTTCATACATCATATAGATTTCCACATCCATTCTCACATACGTATTTATATATGCACATGTGTATGTATGCGTGCATGGATGTATGTACAAATGCGTATATATATATGTATACATATATAAATGTATATATGTATATATATATATATATATATATATATGTATGTATGTGCATCAGTTTTCGCTCGTGCACGTTGGCAAGTAGAGGGGCGCCCCGGCCGACAGGAACACTGGGAGAAGATGACCATCCGTCTCTCCGAGGACTGCCTGGCCCCTCCCGCGTGCAGCTCGGGAGGGGCGTCGCGCAATGCCTCGCCCCTCCTCTCGGATCGGACTCGGACGAGGCTATAAATCCGCCCCAGTGCGTTCCGGAAAGCTCCGAGACTGCTCCCCCCGCGGGAGTCCAGGGACACTTTGAGACCTGGAGAGCCCTCCGGAGTTGTGCGTTCTCTTCTCCTCCCCAAGACCCTGACGCTGGAGGGTTTGTCCGACGGGCTTAGGCGACCCGTCCTCCTGCTCCTCTTCCTCCTCCTCCTCCTCGTCCTCCTGTCCTCCTCCTCCTCCTCCTCCTCCTCCTCCTCCTCCTCCTCCTCCATCCCCTCCTCCTCCATCTCCTCCTCCCTCCCCTCCTCCTCCACCTCGTCCTCCCCCACCCCCTCCTCCACCTCCTCCTCGGGTCGCCTGCGGCCACGGGGGAAACCGTGCACCAAGACCCTGACGCCGGTGAACGACATGCACGCCCGGTAGCCCGGGCCACGCGCTGTTCGAGAGCGGCACGGCCTGCGTGCGCGCCCGAGCGCATGCCGCGCCGACGCGCCTCAGGGCGTATCGTACTCCTTTCTTTTCCTCCGCCATCCCTCCTCAAGAATATATTTTCGTCGTCGCACCACCAGGCCTGTCGACAGAGCGGGCTGGGCGTTTCGCTTGAGACCTTCCTGGGTTTTCTTTCCGGGCGTGAAGAGGCGCGGATGGAGGGCAAGTTGTTTTCAACATGTGACTTGCCTTTTTATCGCGTCGCGCATTCGTCTCAAGGGGGTATCCTAAATGGGCCCTTCAGCCATGGCGCGTGCCGAGCACAAGGAACTGCACGGTTGTACGGCGCTTCTTTTCAACCTGCAGTTATGGTCAAAGACATTATTCAGTTCCTTCAGACCAGGTTTTCGCCTGAACGGTTGGCCATGGGGTTATCGTTTTTCAAGGCGGTGTTTTTTGTAGCGAGAAGTGAAAAGAACGATGTGTGATGATGTGCGGCGTCGTTGATGTATCCTCGGAATACTCTGGCCCTCCTCCTCCTCCCCCCGCGCGCCTGCGAGTGGAGGAGGGGGTGATTCGTGTACTCAACTTCCTCGGCGCGCTTTGCCGTGCAGGTGCCCGCCTGCGCGAGCTCTCCTTCACCACGGCTGGCTCATGGCGCTTCCTGCCAGGCAGGATGCTCGTCCTTTCCAGAGTGGTCACAAGAAACAGCGGGTTGCATGGGCAAAGCCATGGTATTGTAAACATTGCTGGTCACAGTCTACGGGCGATCGGTGGTGGAATCGTGCGGACCAAGACAAGTGCCAGTTGTGCAAGGAGCATAATGGCACCGCCTTCGGCGGCACCAAGTAGGTCGTCGGACAGGTGCCAAGCAAGAGCGTCCGTGCTGCTGGCGGCGCGGGCGGTCATGAGGCGGAGATCAAGAAGCTGCGGGCAGAGCTGGCGAAGCTCAAGAGCCAGCAGCAGGCGCCAGGCAGCGGCGGGGTCGACGCCATGGAGATCGACGAGCTCGGCCTCGGCAAGGGGCCCGACGAGGACCTCAAGCGTGAGTTGGCGGACGTGGGCTCCCACCTCGCGGCGCTGGAGACAACGTCGTGCGCGGAGCTGGTCGAGGCCCGCGAGAAGCTCCGCGCGCGCCAGGGCGAGCTGCGCAAGCGGCTCGTGGCGGGCAAGAGTCTCGACACACGCCACAAGGAGATCTCCTTCCAGCATCAGAAGCTGGAGAAGCGCAAGGCGAAGCAGGAGGAGCACCTCGTCACGCTGCGGGAGAAAGTGCGCGCGGCCGAGGCGGCGGTCACCGAGGCGGCGCTGGGGCTTCACCGCCTCGTCGCCGAGCTCCTGGAGCTCGAGGAGGAACGCCGCCAGCTGGTCGCCCAGGTGCCGCGCCCGCAGGATGGCGAGAAGCCCTCGCTGTCGCAGGTGCTGCCAGTCGCATCCGAGCAGATCACGGTGGACAAGCTGGGGGAGCTGCTCGCCGCCTTCGGCGGGTCGGGCGACTTGGCGACGAGGCTACATGGCTGCTTGGAGGAGGCGCGGGCGGCTGAGGCGGAGCACCGTGCTGAGCAGCGGCGAAGGGCGGCGGGGGCGGCGGCGCAGCAGCAGGCAGTGGGCCAAGGCCACGGTGGTGCGGCCGCCCCCGCAGCCGCGCCTGGCGTCGCGGCACCAGGCTCACCGAGCTGGATCCCCAACGCCGATGGGGACCCCGAGGTGATGCGGGCCTTCCTGCAATCGGTCAACGTGGAGGTGCCTGAGGACGAGGGCGAGCTGCGCGAGGCTGTCAAGAGGGCGGGTGAGTCCCTCTCCAGCCTTGCCAAGAAGCAGCGGTGCAGTGCATCGTCCGGTGAACCTCATCCTAGGCATGATGATGCAGATTGTTACAGTGAAGTCTTCTTCTCATGGTCCCCTGGCGGAGATGCTGGAGGCAGAGGAGCCGTGTCTCGGGACAGGGCCCATGGTGATTTGCTGCCAGGAGCACCATCTGCGCTGCGACAAGTTGGGCTCATTCCAGGCCAGGCTTGCAGCAGCAGGGTTTCATGGTGCGTAATCGGCAGCAGAGGCAACCGAGAACCGAGGATCTCGAGGGGGGGTTGCGGTGCTGAGCCCCTCCAACGCGCAGGTCACGTGTCCGCCGCTGGCGATGCCGGGGGAACTCGTGCCTGCTAGAGCTGTGGCAGCCCACATTCGAAGATGAAAGGCGGTTTCATTGCGATATCGGCATACCTGTGGGTGGACGAGCTGCTCGGGCCCAACACTATTCGACTGTTAACGGAAGTCGCCAGCTATGCACATAGGGTGCAGGCTCTCGGATTTGACTGGGTACTGGGTGCGGATTTCAATATGCGGCCTGCGCTGATGAAGGCATGGGCGGCTTCCTTCGGCGGTGTAATTGTAGCCGCCACGACTCCCATGTGCACTCAGAGCATACCAGGCACGGTGATCGACTTCTTTGTGATGAGTGCGAACATGGCTATTCGTACGTCGGCACCCGAGGTTTGTATGACGGCCAATCTTTCACCTCACAGGCCAGTCTGCGTGCAGATGCAAGGGCCCGATGCGGTCCTGTGGGCGCGTGCGGCTAGGCAGCCGAGCGCGGTGCCAGTGACGGCGAAGCCTGGCTGCGCGCGCTACCCGAGGGACTGGGCGGGCTACATCAACGAGGTGGGCAGAGCGACTATCGCCGACGAGCTCGCGACTACCGCCGACGAGCAGGAATTGTTGGACAGGCACGACATCATGGGGCCAGCGCGGAAGTAACATGAGGGCCGGGCAGGCCCACATGAGACGGTTTGGAAGCAGGTGAAGTCGGTGGTGCGTACTCGGTTGCCGAAGGCGGACGTAGAGCACTCGGAATGGGCGGTCGCAGCACGATGGGCGCGGCAGATCAGGCGGGCCAGCCAGGCCCTCGCAACCTACATCTCGAAGCTGAGCGAGGAGGGCGAGGTCCAGCAGCTGCACCTGCTGGAGAAGGTGGCACGCAGCCTGCTTGAGGCGCAGGCGTTCATGAGCAACGTCGCGAGGCAGAGGGCGACCCTGCAGGCGCTGGACCATCTGACGCGCACATTTTCTCGCTGGCCTAGCGGCCCTAGGCGACCCTGCTACCGAAGATTTGATTCAGCGAATCCTGCTGAAGGAGGAATCCTGGAAAGCCTGGATTAGGAGCAGTGTTTTGGGCGGGGCTCGGGAGGCTCATAGGTTTTCCAAAGTCCGAGGGATCCAGGAGACGATCGAGGCCACCGAGCGAGCGCAGCCGTTTCAATTGGCGGACGCGACGTGCTCGGATTTGGCCAAGATATGGTCGACTCACGGATGTCGAGTGCCCGAGTTCCCGCCCGATTTCGATGATTGGCCGTCGCTTCTCGAGATTACGATTCCCGACATGCGAGCGGCGATTGCCAAATTTCCTCCCCGCACAGCTGTCGGGTGCTTGAGCGTACGCCCGAGATCGTTGCAGTATTCGTCGGATGAGTTCAAGCGATTCAGTCTTTGATGTAAATCTAGCAGCGGAGATTGCGAAGGCAAGGTCGCATCATTGTGTCTCGATGCTGCTAGACATGGCGAAGTGCTATGAGATGATTAAATTGTCTGTTTTGTTTCAGGTTTTTCGCCAGGTCCAGTTCCCGCGTAGGATGGGGTGGATGCTCATCCAGAGCTACATGGCCCCCAGGCGGGTCGACGCTTTCGGGCCCCTCTCCGAGGCCGATGTTAGTTTCCAAGGAATGTTAGCAGGCTGCTCGGCAGCGTCGTCGGTGATGCTGGCTGTTCTGCTTCGGCCTGTCCAATCAGCAGTTAAGCGTTTCCCTTCGGCGCGGGCTCGAGCCGTCATGGATGATGTGTCCCTGCAGTGGGACGGACCCGACATAAAAGAGTCCAAGGTGGTCTTGGCCGCGGCCCGTGAACTGCGCCGCGAAGTCTCGCCGATTGGCTTCCTTTTGCAGCCCAACAAGTCTGGCATCGTTGCCTCGAGCGTGGCCGCTGAGAAAAACATTGCCTCGCCTGGCCGCTCGTTGGGTTTCCAGAAGCAAAAGCACATGCGCAAGCTCGGCCACGACCTGCATGGACGACGCGTCCTGCGGGTGATGGAGGCTCGTAGGAGACGGCAGCTCGACATGCGTAGGCAGAGGCTTGTCATTATGAGGAGGTCGGCGGGGGGAGAGCGGGTGGCGGGTTTGCGGGGGACGGGATTGATGCCGCGCGGCAGCCATGGCGCTGCGGTGTCAGGCGTCACTGATGCCACACTTCGCTCGCTTCGTTCGCTCGCCGCCTCCCTTCTTGGGGCAAAGGGCCGTAGTCATGTGACTCCGTATTTATGTACGCACAAGGATAAGTTCTACGATCCAGTGTTTGACGCCACCGTTCCACTAGTGCATCGTCACTGCTGTTGGGCATGGGACGGCCGAGCCAAAGATTCCGACATGCGTTGTGCGTGGGAGCAGGCCTCGAGAGCTCTCTTGGCGGCCCCGCGTTGGTCTAGAGTCAGAGGGCCGGTGGGGGCTGTCATGCTCTCGCTGCAGCGAGTCGGATGGGATCTAGTTGGGCCGCGCCACATTAGGACGGACCAGAATGAAGTTCTTTCCTTGCCGCGCGCGCCCCCCTCGGATGTGCGACACTTGCTGGGGGAAGGAATTAGCAGAGCCCAGGGGATCCAGCTTGTTTCGAGTCTCCCCGAGGCCCAGGGGCACGAGGTCGTCTGGGTCAGGGCTCTTAGGCTGGGGTTCCAGAGGCTGCAGGGGGCCCGCAGAGCCTGTATCAGAGCCCTCTGGGCGGGGGCCATGTGGCCCCCAGCCCGTAAGTTTCAGCATGGGTATGCCGCCAGCAGCAAGGGGACGTTTGGCCTTTTTTTTTTTTACGATTGTGAAGGATTTTGGGCAATGGGTGAAGACCCTGACGCGAGTGCTGCAATGCCGGACTCGTGCATAGAGCATAGGAACTGGCGCAAAGAGCAAGCGTATGGGATCCCTCCCGACTTCGACACTCCTGAGTTGGTTTATGGTTTGCCTTCTCTCCCTTTTGAGATCCCTGCTGTCGCTGCTCAGACGAAAGTCTTCTCGTGGGGCGCTGAGACTGCTCCTTGGGGCTTTCGCGCGCACGCTGACGGGAGTGGCCTGGCGTCGGGAAACCCCGAAGCCACCCGATGTGGCTGGTCGATCGTGGCTCTCTCTCCTGGGGGATGGCCTGTGAAGGCGGCGTTCGGGGCCCTCGCGGGGCCTGTCCAAACGGTCCCGAGGGCCGAGCGCCAGGCGATCCTCCATGCGTTGAAGGTCGGGCCGTGGGGCCTCGAGGTTGTCTCTGATCACCTGTCGGCGGTCAAAGAAGGGAACTCGTGAGGCCCTGGTTTGGCCGCAGGCAGGGGAGCACGCGCCTCGGTTTGGAGGCAAGTTTTTGAGTTGCACCAGGGCAGGGCAGAGCGGCCTTCTTTCCGCTGGACACCTGCCCACCAGGATGTTTTTAAGATCCTTGAAGGCCAGGCGTCTCCCTGGGATGTCGTCGGTCGTAGTTTCGTTGATTGCATGGGGAACGCCTGGGCCGACTTCTTCGCGCGACTGGGGGCGAGTGAGCACCAGCTGCCTGAGCTGGTCACCTCCGTGTTGCGGGAAAGAATCAAGGACGGCTTTCAGACTTTGGATTTCCTGTCGAGGGCGGCGCAGCTCGCTGCTGCGGCGGCCCCAGACCAGCCCACACCCGCGCGGGTTAGAGGGGGCGGCATCCCCCGATTGGCCCTTCTCTCTCACGATTTGGGGTTGGTGGAGGGGGTCCCTGAGGCGGCGAGGTGCACGTGGTGCCACTGCTCGGCGCGGACGGCTTTGAGCAGAAGAAAGCTCGAGCAGCCTGGTGCGAGATGTGCCCCGTCCCCCCTCCACCTGTTTCTTTCGGCTGTGCGTGCCTGGCGGCGCGGAGGTGCCCTACCCAGGGCGCGATGTGTCGCCGTCCAGGATACCCTCAGGGCGCTGGGGCTCGAGTCCTCCAGTGAGGCCCCAATGGGGCCCCCTGACGCCATCGTCTACGAGGGTCATGTGGTGCAGGCGTCTGGCCGCTACCTTATTTGTCGCCGCTGTGCGGCGCACTGCCTTGTGGAAGCACCGTGCTGGCGGAAGCTCCTCGCCCCGTGTTCTGGCGGTGCGTCTACGGGCCAGGATTGGTCCAGGGACGAGGTGCTGGCTGGACGAGAGCCGCGCCCACCGCCCGCTCCCGCGTAGGGCCGTCGCCTGGCGTCGGCACTGCGCAGGAATAGGCGTTGGGTGCGGCTCTGCGCGCCCGTGCGCGCTTTTAGTGGGTGTGGGACCTGCCCGCGCCCGTGAGGCACGGCCTCTTTTCTGTCCTTTCGGCTAGCTTCCGCCCGCGGATGCTAGACCTTGGTTGCCCCTTGCCCCCCCCCCCCTGCGCGTGCGGTGCCTACTGCGTCTTCTTTCTAGTGTTCCGCGCAGGTATTTGTACTCGTTCGCTGGCAAGTCCCGGCTTCCTCCCAACGCCTCGCCCGCGAGCGGAGCAGTGCCCACAGGTCAGAGTAGGCAGGCGAGGGCGAGGAGGGGAAGGAGGACGATGAGGGGTTCGAGGATCGAGGGTCCAGGCTTTGGACGCGTTTGTTGCCGTCTTGGGTCTATTGTGGTGCTCTCGTGGCTGGATTCGCTGGGCAATTCAGGCCAGAACGCATCCCAGGACATGTCTGGAGGTCGCGGATTAGGAGGACGACGACGACGACGATAACGAGAAGAACAATCAGGAGGAGTCGTGGGCGGAAACGGGGAGGAGCATGACCTCGAGGATTTAGAGGTGGAGCGAGGAGGAGAACCAGCGCACACCTGGCAGAGACAGCGGACGTCGCAGCAGTCATGCTCTGCCTATTTGAAGCATCCTTCTCACGATCATGCGCCGAAATACCAGCGAGACGATGTCCTTTTGTCCTGCCCCTCGCAGAGAATGGGCCCGGTCTCTCAGAGGCCCCCCCCCTGGTGGGCAGTGTAATGTCCAGCGGCCCTCGACCCCATCCCACCACCGCGCCTGTGTTGCGGGCCAGGCGTCTCTTGGACTCCTGTTGGGGTCTGTTAGGGTGCCTCTCGGGGGCCTCGCAGGAGGTCTCTGGCCCTCTTAAGGGGGCAGTGGAGAATATGAAGAAGACCAGACGGGTGATACTACTGTTCTGTTGCTGCGGTAGTTGGTTATCACGTGTGGTGGAACGGGACGCGCACCTGAAACCATCAATGGCAAGCATAATGATCCGATCAGACTGGCGTGGCCAATCATCAGCAGGTATCGCAGCAGCATGAGTCAGCTCGTTGGCCAGCCCGTCAGGCCCCCATCCCAACAGTTTTTGTTCCAGCAGTGCAGGAGGAGTTTGCCGGATTGCGAGCACCAGTGCACGTGCGTGCTCTGCAAACGCAGGAGGGATGCAGAAGAGGGTGCGCTGTTGGTGGATTTTAGAGATAGGCGTCTTAGGAGAAGGATGCAGGATAATGGCTGTCAGTCGAACATGGGAGCAAGAGGCTTAGGCAGGAGTAACTAGTACCAGCAGCATCAGTAGCGGGAGCAAAGCCTGCGAAGGACGTCTCGAACTTGTTGCAGCATTCGAACTCGCAGTACAAGATGCAGGTCACTGTTCTCGGTGAGGAGGAAACGACCAAGCAGGATTCACTTTGTATGATTCTTGATTTGCGTATCTGAAGGCTTGTTGTCTTTGCCGCCAGCCCCCCAGGCGGAGCCAGTTTCGGAATAGGTTAGGACCATCTTGGTGCTGAAGATGGGAGATTGTATACACAGGTGGTGAATACAGCATACACAACCTTCCAGCAGATGTGTTGTTTTGTTTGCGATTGTACAACTTGGGCAAGACAGTCATACTTCCATTCCATAGGATACGCAATCACAGTCCCGCAGAGGGTTAGGACACCGAGATTTGCGAGCAAGGTGACGTTGCAAGTCAGCGTTTGAAACAAACTCACTGGCCTTCGCCGCATCCCGCCACCGCGCCTGGGTCGTTGACCAGAGGCAGCTCAAAGGCCTGTGGGGGTCTCTTGGGAGTCCTCTCGGAGGCCTCCAAACATAGGTGTGTGTATTTGCGCGTGTACGCTCCCGAGGCACATTGAGCTTCGGCGTTTGCCGCCGCCGCTTTGCAGCTGGATGACGTGGTGCCGTTCTCTTGTCGTCGCACGGATCGATCCGTTAGGATCGACGCGTTCTTTCTCGAATGCAACATGTATAGGATAATATCAATTACGGAAAACATATGGAGCGTTTCAGCGGCCCGCTGACGAGACCTTTTGCGTGTGCGTGCGTTTGGACCACTTGCAGCGCCTATTGGAATTTAAGTTGCTCGAGCGTGGCCCGCTGTTGCACTCGCGACGGCGCCGTCCCCTTGCTGGAGGAGGAATAATAATAAGAAGCAGAAATACTATGCGTTTGCGTGTGGGTGGCATCTGGAGGGGCACAAGAAGTGTGTGTATCTGTGTCTGTGTGTGTGTTTGAGTGTGTGTGTGTGTGTGCTGGTGCTGCGTTTTCCTTATAATCGCCAGTTTTCATCCTGACCCCCTTCTGGTGCGCCCTGAGTTAATCGAGCCAAGCCCGCCCCGCCTTGGGGTAATACACGCTGCGGTGCCCGGACGTCACCCGGCCGCTGGAGGACTCGCGTGCGCGCGCGCGCGCGCGCGTGTGTGTGTGTGTGTGTGCGTGTGTGCGTGTGTGTGTGTGGGCGTGTGTGGGGCGTGTGTGTGTGTGTGTGTGTGTGTGTGTGTGTGTGTGTGTGTGTGTGTGTGTGTGTGTGTGTGTGTGTGTGTGTGTGTGTGTGTGTGGGGGGGCGTGTCTGGGTGTGCCTGTGCTCTTCGTCGCCCCGGCCGCGTGCCTCTTGGGCGCCCCTGCCGCGCCGCCCCCTCCGCCACTCGGAGGAGTCAAAGGCACCGGTGCTGCAACCCTTTCATCGTTTTCCCCCGCTTGGGCCTCCTGGCGGGCAATGTCTGTATCCACATCCATTGCGTCTTGGAGTTTCGGGCTCTCTTCCCAAGAAACATGAGGCGCACTGGGTATGGATTATAATCTGCCTCCAAAAGGCTAATTTGTTTTACATATCCAGTGCGCCTCGGCCTTGCGGCGCCCCTTTCAAGAAAGTCCAAGACGCATTGCATATGGATATAAATATTGCCCGCAGTCCTGGGAGGCCCTCGTCGCCACCACTGGATTCGCTTCGAAACTCTGGTCACAACGCACCCTGGAAGAGGTCCGGGGAGCGTTTCCCCAGCCCTGCCTCCTCGGAGCCTCGGAGGAGACCTGGGACGCGAAGGATTCCGGCACATCGCAGGCACGATTCCATCGGGGGCGGCTTGTCCTGTCTATGGGCCTTCGGTCCATCTTGTGACCCTGCTTGTCTCGGGGCCCTCCTGGCCCTTTTGGAGGCGCCCGCGGCTCTGAAGGAGTCGTGCGGCAAGCGGGCGGCGAACTGCGGGAGGCCCGCCGGGAACCTCGGGACATTGTGGAATTCGGGGTCCAGGCCCCTTGCTACTCAGTCTTGAGGGCTGAGGACTGAGGACGACGAGGGCCCTGAGGGTACTCCAGCTCGTGCCTCGCGGTAGGGAGGCGGATGCATAGGTCCGCGAAGTGCATCAACGCGCTGGCCTGGTGGTGTTGCTTTTCAAGTGTGGTGTGCCTCTTGGCGACACCTCAGGTGCCCTGCACCGCTGCTGTCCTTTTTCACGGATCCACCAGGTCTGCGGGATGACGGCCTCACAGCGGGGCTCGGTGGTGTGGTCTCCGGTGTAGCCTCGCCTCTCGGCGTATCCGCTGTGTCAGTTATTTTGGGCGTCAGCCTCTCCGCGAGAATCGGCCACACCCTTCTCCTGTCCGACCTTGCTCTGCAGCCAGACCGAGGTATAAGATCGAGGTCGGTTCGGGGAGGGTACCCTGGTATTCTTCGTGCTTGTTGGATGTTTTTGTGCATCCTGGGGAGGGTACCCTTGGATGTTCTGTTTGTTTTGGCCGACGGAGGGCCTTGTGCTCTTGAGGGATGTTCTTCCGGTCCAGGTCCGACTGTAGATGGGGTCGGAGGATCGCGCTGCACCCCTGATGCATCGGCGATGCGGCTCGATTAGGGGGCCACATGCGAACCCTACCCCTATTTCCCCACGATTTTTGAGGGGGAGGGTGGGGTTCACTTCGTCCACACCTTTCCTGATTTCGTTGGGAAGTCGAAATTTCCTTAATTGTTCCTTCCTTATTTGTTCCACACCTTGCCTGAGGTTTTCCTTACGTTTTCGATGGGAAGTCGAAGTTGATCTTGTGACAAAAATTGGGGCCCCGTTCCTTATCTACGGTAGGTTCGCGTCGTGTCGACTGGCGGCGACCCTAGCGAGGGCGTTTAAGGTTGAACACCGCTCGTGGCCCAGAATCGGCCCATCTTTGAACGTTGTGGCGTCTCTGCAACGGCCGATCGATAAAGTTTGAACGATCACCGCAGCGTCAGGAACCATTGCTCGGGTGGTCACTCGGCACTCGGGCCGGACGAAAGGGGGGGATAGGGAAAGGGGGGGTACGAAATCTGCTGCATGCAGCTGGTTTCGGCCCCGCCGCCGGGCCCATTCCTCGATACATATGTGCGCCTCCCGGCGCCGGGAACGCGCCGGGCAAATCAGCTACGTGAGCTGACTCTCAAAGCCCCCCTCTTTGCTATCCCCCCCTTTTCGCCCGGCCCGAGTCACGACGCGAACCTGCCGTAATTAGGACTCCTGAGGGCACCGCCTCGGCTGGCATGCCCTGAGGTCCGCCGCCGGCGCGCGCGGCCCCCGGTCGCCCTTGGGCTGCTCGGCCGCCGCCGGCGACCTGCGCGCCTCCCTCTCCGCCCGCGACCTGCGCGCCTGCAAGCACGGGTGGACGTCCTCTGCTCCTTTGATGGGCCTGCTTTCCACCACCACCACCACCATAGGTTGGAGGGGGAGGGGGTCCTGCTCCTGCTCCTCCTCCTCCTCCTCCTCCTCCTCCTCTTCCTCCTCTTCGTCCTCCTCTTCCTCCTCCTCCAATTCGTCCTCCTCCTCCTCGTCCTCCACCTCCCTCCCCCTCCAACCTGAGGTGGAAAACAGGCCCATCACTCCTCACCGCCTCGCTCCCCGCCGCGGCCTCCTCCAGGGTCATCCTTGCGAGACATCTTGGGCCATCCAGGATCCAGGGCCCTCTTGCGAAGAATCGGGCACGACATCGAAACATGCGCGCGGTGGGGCAGCGCTCCCCGCCGCGGCGGGGCACAGCGCTCCGGCTCCGGCTCCCGCCGGCCCCTGGGGCGTGAGCAGCCTACGGAGCTCGTTGTGCTAACCCCTCTCCTCCTCCTCCTCCTCCTTCTCCTCCTCCCCAGCGCTCCTCTTCGGCGAGATCGGCAATGGGCCCCGATGGCGAAACCGCACGTTTCTGGGCTGGGTGGGGCGCCCAAGCCCCGGTTGGCGATGGGCGAGCGACTGACCGCCTTGAAGACCGCCCGCCCGCAAGGGGGGGCTAATGGGGGAGGGGCTAAGAGGGAGGGGCTAGGGGGAGGGGTCCACTCGCCCCTCAACACACAATTAACAACCGAACCTCTCTGAGGCCGTTTTGGACTCTCTAAGGCCCTCTTGGAGCCATCTTGGGCGAAAAAGTCGCGGGGCGCCCCGTCCAGGTCCAGGGGAGGGGGTAGGGGAGGAGGTCAAGGTACCCACCCGCCCGCAAGCCGTGTAGCTCACCCCCACCCGCCCTCCCAACACAGAAGTAACACCCGAGCCTGAGCATGTTCAGCGGCCATTTTTGGATGAGCAGCTGCTGGGGTCCAAAACCGAGCCCACGTGCGCGACGCTGGGGCGAGATGCGCCACGCGTGCCAGGCTCGCCACGCGCGCCACGCGCGCCAGGCACCCCTGGGGCCCGAGCGCGCCAGGCAAGCCTGGTGCGCCAGATGCGCCACGTGCCTCCGCGTGCGCCAAGTGTGCCGCATAATTACTCCAGTCGCGCCAGGTGCGCCACGTTCGGGGCACGTGCAGGGTGTGTCAGGTGCGCCTGCGCACGTGACAGTACACATCGGGAAACATGTCGGCCCCCAACATCTTTGTCGAAAACAAATGCCCATCATTGTGTCTGGTGGGCCTGCGGACAGCAGGCCATAAACCGCCACCCCCGCCGTTCCTGTCAACAACCACGTGACAGTGCTCGCGGGGTGGCCGCGCATTGTGTATTGTGTTTGGTCAGGGATGGTAGCCCTGCGCGCAGCAGGCAATATGCTGACACCCCCGCCGTCCCTGTCAAAAACCCATACAGCGTGCTCGCGGGACTCACGAACATGACTACAGACTTTGCCCCGAAGTGTATTCTGTATGGTTTTCTGACAGGATTGGTTGGGGCGGCCCGCATCGGGTAGGTTACGCATGCCCCGAATTTGGAGGCAGAGCGAGTTTCGTAGTGTGTTTTGATCGGGATGGTGGGGGACCGCATGGTCCCTGGTTGGCCGCCAGTCGCCTGGGGGAGGGAGTGTATATTAAATAGGAACATTGATAACCCCTCCCCGAAGAGGAAGAAGAGGGTTGAAAGAGGAAACGCCCTAGACCACCTACGCCCAGAGGGCTGGTGGGATCGTTTCACTCGTATTCTGAGGCCCTGGACTAAGGTATTGTGACGCTGCGCGTTGTTCTCACTGCCCGTGCGCGCGTGCGCGAGCGTGCGTTCCCTCTCGCGTGTGCAATACAAAGGCCAATCACGAACGGCAGTCCCAATCTCGAAAACTGAAACGCGAAAACCATTCGTTTTACTCGTATTCTGAAGACCTCAACGTGGGATAATGTATTGTGGCGCTGCGCATTTTCCTCATTGCCCGCGCGCGCGCGCGTACGCGCGCTAGCGCTTGCTCTCGCGTGCACAGGCGCGTTTTCGAGGGACTCTGGAGACCTTTTTCTGGCTCCAGGACCGTGAGAAACGGATCCAGAGTGAAACATTGCACCTGATGAATCCTGGGAGGGGTCCAGGGCCCAATTTTCAGCGGTTCTGCCTTCATCCACCCCTCCTGACCGATCTCCTGGGGTCCTAGCCAGTTCAGACCCCCCGGCCGCGTCCTACCTCCTTCAGCCAAGTCTTAGCCACGGGTCCTCGAACTTGCGGGCCTGGAGATGTCCAGAGGCCTTGCAGGACTGCCCCCTGAGATGCTTACTGCGGGTTTGGTTGTTCACCTGCTCATGCAGTGGTCCATTTCCATACCTTCGTGGCGGCTGTGGAGTTCGACCTAGTGTGTTGGTCGCGAAGGCAGGTGAGTGGGTCCACCTTGATCAGGCTGGACCGGGTCGACAAGGCCTCCTCTCCGGTGCTCGCGCGCCCACGACAGTGCCGCGACCGCCAGGCAAGTTGCCGATATTGTGGCCAGCAGCTCGTGCAGCCTCCAGACCCCCACTTGCAACCGCCGCGTACACCCCCGAAATTGCTTAATCGCTGCCAGCCGAACAGGTGTGGCTGCGTCGGGGGCGCGTGAGGGTGGTGCCCGCCGGGCGGGCGTCCATGGACGGTGCATGGAACCTCCTTCTGTCCTCCTGCTCCACCCCCTCCCCCGTCCTCATCTCTCATAAATTGGTTGTACCAGCCCGAGCCCTACCCAGACGGCGCAAGCCAGGTTGACAAAAATCGATAGCCTCTCGCAGAGCTCGCTCGGCAAGCACGTGTGGTCGGTCAAAGATGGGAAAGGCGACAGCCACGGCCTCTTGTTCGGCGGCGTCACGGACTACTTGGCATCGCCGAGGACTCCACGCAGCAGCCCAAAGTTTGAGACGTACGGAAGCCAGCACATGAGCGAGAGTTTTTTGTTTTTTTGACTAGACTAGGGATCAGGAGGAGGATGAGGAGAAAGACTCACAGAATACCACTGCTCCTCGCCTTCAATCATCCCCTCTCCCTCCCCTCCTCTTCTCTCGCCCTGCCCCGCGCCTCGCTCGCCGTACGAGCCGCCAGGCGCGCAGCCTACGCCATTTTGCTGCTGCTCGGGAGGGGGGTCCGCCGCACAAGAAGAACAAATCGCAGACACCCTCCCATGGATTCTTCCTCGGCCTCGGGGGAGGGTGGTGGTGTACCCTCCGATTGATTGTTCCTCGGCCTCGGGGGAGGGTGGCGGTCTATAGATACCTAATATGGGCGCTGGAGACTCTCTGCGCCGCCGCCCTGCCTGGAGGCACGCGCAGAGCTCGTCTTAAGACGCCCGCGTACGCATGTCCGCGGCGCAGCGGGCCCAGCGGAGCGGCGCCTCCCACGGGGTTGTCCGCGCGAGACCCCGGCGGCCCCAACGGGGGCGCTGCCGGGCGTGCCGTCGTGGCAACGCTGCGCCCCCCCGGGGGAGGGGGGGGCGCACGGAGGAGGAGGAGGAGGAGGAGGAGGAGGAGGAGGAGGAGGAGGAGGAGGAGGAGGAGGAGGAGGAGGAGGAGGAGGGGGGAGGAGGAGGTGGAGCCGGCACCCCACGGGGAGCGAGGCCTCTCGGCGGCCTCGGGCGTGGTCGGGCGCGCAGCGGTCTCCGCCGTGCCGCGCCCCGCTGGGGGGGCCCAGCGGAGTGGCTGTGACTACTGAGACCTGGCGGTGACCACGGCCTCCCCAGTGCGGCGGGCGTGCCGTTCCAGCGGCTACGTTGCGCCCCTGGGGAGGGGCTCCAGCGGAGTCACGCCCATCTTCTGCTGAGTGTGCAGTTGTCGCCTCTTTGCTGGGCCCTTTGGTGGCCAGCGATCGGTCCACACAGGCTTGCGAGGAGTGCGCACAACGACTTGGGAGGAATGACTGGGCTGCGGCTCAGACATACAGCCAGAGCGCATTTGCTACGGCCACGTTAGCGGGTCCCCGAGCAAACGCAACTAAAGGCCCTTCTCCCGCACGCAGGGTAGGTGACCCTCCGTGCGACCCGGCAAGAGGTATGGAGATGATAAGTGAGGCCTGAGTTCCTCACGCATTCGGGCTCTGTGCTCGTCTTCTCCTCCACCCCTCCCCCGCATCCATCTTATTATTTCCTCGACGATGCCATCTTGGCTGTTGTCGTCGGGGAGGTGGAGGAGGGCGAAGGCGGGGTGTACCGACGTCACATCCCATCTAGCACTCATGCTTGTCTTTCTTCGGACTTTGGCCGTACAAAGGTTTCTAAGGTCCCTGATGTAGTAAGGCGACAGCGAGGGAACCATTGAAAGACACAGCAGGTGGTTGGCTGACGTGGGCCTCTCCTGGGCTTCGTAAAGAGGCGCCAGGACCATCGCAGGGCCGACTTGTGGCAAGCTTGGGCCATCGCGGGGGGCATCTCAAGCCATCTCCAGGGGTCTTCATACCATTTTTTGGTTGTCTCGGGCCACAAGCAAACCCCGCACATTGGATCTCCTGTGTCTCGGCCCCTCCCACAGCATACAACAGGCAGTTTGATCAATCAATCGGACGATTGACCTTTGCGCGAGTTTTGCTCCCTGGTTAGGGGGCCAGATGCGAACCCCACCCCTACCCCCCCACGATTTCTGAGGGGGTTAGGGGTAGGGTTCGCATGTGGCCCCCTATTTGATCAATCAATCGGACGATTGACCTTTGCGCGAGTTTTGCTCCGTGGTGGAATTCGCCATTTCCTGGCCCCTCGGTTTGCGAAGCCATCCGCAGGCCAGACGAAGACAACAAGAAGGACGACGCCATTCGCGCGTGCAAGTTCTTCCTCTACATATCGACCCAGGTGCACTTCGATCCTTCTTGTGCTTGCAGTTTTTCAACCCTCCACGGCATGACGACCTTGGTGACACTTGTGGGTGGGGCAGGCGTGTGCCTGTATGTTTGCCCCCGCACGTTTGTAGATAGGCTATCCTCGCACGTGTTGCGTTTCATAGGCGATGGGGTTTCCCCCCGTTCTCTCGATGACTTTGCAGCTAGGTTCCTCGTCGACGCCGAGGTTGATCTTCCTCCTCTGGTGACGTGCCACAACTCGTACCACGCGCGAGTGTGTATTGTTTGGTGTGTATATATATGTATTCCCCAATCAGTGCTTGCACTGAAGGGGTCCTCGTGGATGTTGAGGGATTTGGCGAAAGTGTCCCGCCGATTCTGGTTTCTGGCTGGGTTCCCAGGTTCCCGGTTCTGTGTTCCCGGGTTCCCGGTTCCGTGTTCTGGGCCGATTTCGGAGGGCGGCGAGGTTTTTGGGTTCCCGGGTTCCTGGTCGATCTTCTTACCGATCGGTCTCACCATCGATCTCTTTATTTTTTTCTCTATCGATCTCACCATCGATCTCACAACCGATTCCATGATCGATCTCACAAGCGATCTCACTAGAGATCGCATGAGCGATCTCGCGATCGATCTCAGTATCGATCTCATTGAATCGATTTCACTCTCGTTCTCACGATCGACCTTACAATCGTCCTCACTATCGATTCCAAGATTGATCCCACAATCGACCACAATATCCATAGTATTAATTTTCAAATCATCCACTGATTGGGTTTTCTCAGGTGTAATATCTGTATCTATATATATATATATATATATATATATATATGTATGTGAGGAGTGCCCAGCGCGGAGCGAGTCCCCCCCAGGATCGCCCATCCAGGGAGGGTTCGTGCTGGCGGCACCGCCGGTGCGGACCAGCACGAACCCCCCCAGCATGCACAAGATTCCCGCAAGGATGCTCAAGACTCCCCCGGGATCGCGCTTCAGGCATCGCGATCGACCTTACAATCGTCTTCACTATCGATTCCACGATCGATCTCATTATCGATCTCACAATCGATCACAATATCCATACTTACTTTTCAATTCATCCACTGATTGAGGTTTTCTCAGTTGTAATATTTCCTCGTATCTTTAGCCATACGTACTTCTCGGTCTTGGCTCTCTTCTCTCATCGCTCAGCTCTCTGTAAGACGGGATACGCATGCAGTGTGTTGTAAAAGCAATGTGCAAGGATGTGTGTGCGTGTGTCTATTCCTCAATCAGTGCTTGCACTCAAGGGGTCCTCGCGGATGTTGAAGGATTTGGCGAAAGTGTACCGCCGATTTTGGTTGCTGGTTCTGTGTTCCCGGGTTCCCGGTTCCGGGTTCCGGGCCGATTTCGGAGGGCGGCGAGGTTCCCGGGTTCCCGGGTTCCTGGTCGATCTTCTTACCGATCGGTCTCACCATCGATCTCTTGATTTTTTCTCTATCGATCTCACCATCGATCTCACAACCGATTCCATGATCGATCTCACAAGCGATCTCACTAGAGATCGCATGAGCGATCTCGCGATCGATCTCACTATCGATCTCATTGAATCGATTTCACTCTCGTTCTCACGATCGACCTTACAATCGTCCTCACTATCGATTCCAAGATCGATCCCACAATCGACCACAATATCCATAGTATCAATTTTCACATCATCCACTGATTTGGTTTTCTCAGGTGTAATATCTGTATATATGTATATATATATGTATGTGAGGAGTGCCCAGCGCGGAGCGAGTCCCCCCAGGATCGCCCATCCAGGGAGGGTTCGTGCTGGTGGCACTGCCAGTGCGGACCAGCACGAAGATTCCCAAGGATGCACAATATTCCCCCAAGGATGCTCAAGATTCCCCCAAGCATGCGCGGAACCCCCAAGGATACACAACATTCCCCCGGGATCGCGCTTCAGGCATCGCTGGTGTGGGCCGATACGAAACCCCGTGGGATGCGCGAAGCCTCTCTGGACCAGCTGGAGCAGGGCGGCATTCATTTCTGTCCGCGGCTCTTCCCGTCGGAACTTCCAGAGGAGGAGGAGGAGGAGGAGGAGGAGGAGGAGGAGGAGGAGGAGGAGGAGGAGGAGGAGGAGGTGAGGGAGGGGTTGTCGGCAGCGTGAGGCGGATATATCTTGACCCCCCCGGGGACCTGAGAACGGACTCAGAGGCGTAGGCTGTGGGCAGCACATGCGCATTTCGCCTCCTCGTGCACCCACCCCATGCGCCAGGCAGGACAACTTATGAACACACATCTATTCCACATATGTTTGAAGGTGTTGGCAAGGTAGCCGTGTGAAAAGACAGATATTCCATGTATGTGTGAAGGGTGTGATAAGGAAGCCGTGCAACAGCACATACATGTTACATATATTCAGGTTTTCTGGCTCAGGGCGCCCCTCTACGTCCTGCTCTCCCAGCCTGTTTGCAGCGCGTTCGTACCAGAACACCTGAGACATATTAGAGATATTGGATCCTTTTCACTTGGCTTCCTCTTAGAGCCGTCTTGGGCCATCTTAGATGCTCTGGCCGCTCGCGGGGCGCCCCGTCCAGGTCCAAGGGAGGGGTAGGGGTCAAGACGCCCTCCCCGCCCGCAAACCGTCTCGCTCACTCCCACCCGCCCTCCCAACACATACGTAGCGCCCGAGCCTGGCCCGAGCCTCAGCATATTCAGCAGTCGTCTTTGGATGGGCAGCTACTGGGGGCGCATCCGTCGGCGCCGCCGCCGCCTCCGCCGCCACCCGCCGCCGCGCCGCCGCCACCGCCGCCGTTGTCCGCCGCCGCCGCCGCCGCTCGCCGCCCGCCGCCGCCGCCACCGCCGCCGCCGCCGCCCGCCGCCGCCGCGCCGCCCCCGCTGCCGATCGCCGCGCCGCAGCCGCTGCCGCCGCAGCCGCTGCGCCACCGCCTGCCGCCGCCGCCGCCGCCACCGCCGCCGCCACCGCCGCCGCCGCCGCCACCGCCGCCGCCGCCGCCGCCCCCGCCGTCGCCGCCGCCACCGCGCCGCCGCGCCGCCGCCGCCGCCGCCGCCGCGCCGCCGCCGCCGCCCCGTTGCCGAATCGCCGCCGCCGCAGCCGATGCCGCCGCAGCCGCTGCCGCCACCGCTGCCGCCGCCGCCACCGCCACCGCCGCCGCCACCGCCGCCGCCCCCGCCGCCGCCCCCGCCGTCGCCACCGCCACCGCCGCCGCCACCGCCGCAGCCGCCGCAGCCGCTACCCCCGCCGCAGCCGCCGCAGCCGCCGCCGCCGCCAAGTGTATTCTGTATTGTTTGTTGGCAGGGATGGTAGGGGGAAGCCGCATCGGGTTCGCTGCGCATGCTCTGATTTTTTTACAAGGGATGGTGTGGGGGGCCTTCATTGTCTCGGGTTGGCTCCCAGTCGCCTGGGGGAGGGGGTGTATACTAATAGGGAACAGTGATAAACCCCTCTTCGAAGGGGAAGAGAGGGGTTGGAACAAGAGCCTTCCTAGACCACCTACGCCCAGAGGGCTGGTGGGAGCCAATAGGAATATCCTGAATATGGGATATGCTCCAGTCCAAGTGAAGTCCGCTTTGAGAATAATGAGGCATGATGCTGCTGAGACATGATGCATCTACAGATAGTGGGGGTGAAGAATAAGGGGGATTAGCGTGAATTCGATTCAAGATTATATTCATGATCTTGGAGAGCCGGACGGACTCTTCCTATTTGCATGCGTACGTATCTCGATGTTTCAAGTGCGCATACGTCTTTGTCATGAACGGCCTTCAGAGGTGTACAGTCGTAACGCTTGCACGTAACAGTCATACAGCAAAAAACGAAAACATATTCTGAGTACAATCGATCCAGTTCCCTGGAAGAGATCGCTCTAATAACCTGATTGGTTCCGTATTGTTCGTTTGCGGCCCTGCAGCTTGGAACCCCAAGTGCCCGCGCGGGACGCCGAACATTGCGTCACATTTCCAGTGTGTGTGTGTGTTTTTTCCAAGCCGTTTGAGGTCTGAGTATGAGTGCTTGTTCGTCAGCAGTCGCACTGGGCGTACGTGGCCACGTGGCCCCTGTGCGAATGCAACGCTAACGGTCGCCGCGGCGATCGGGGACATCACGGATGATCGCTTCGGGCGCAAGACCAATTGAGGCGACGCTACGGGCAAGACGAGCATGGTGAGGCTCAACAGACGGGGCTCTTTGGTTGCCTCCTCCCGCTCTTCCTCGCCCTCGTCGTTGTCTCCAGGGCCGACGCCGGTGGCCGCTGAGCATAGCCGATGCAGCAGCGGGGGCGGGCGCGAGCGAGGCCGATGAGCCGCGATGCGCGCGCGCAGGCCACGGCGGCGGCAGACCTGGCCCAGTGGCCAGAGGGTCCATCAGCTTCGGATCCGTCGAGCCCCCGCGTGCCCTGCACTCCAGACAAGCGGAGCCCGCCCTGAGGGCTCCAACGCTCCGACACGCCGTGCCAGGGGCCACCGTAATCTTTTGCCAGGAGAGGGTCGGGACGGAGAAGACGGACCCAGCGTCACCAGGGACGACGCGAGAGGGAGCTGCGCCCGCAGCCCAGGGACGGCCTTGGCGGTTGGCTGGATGACCCCACTCGGGCCCCACTCACGGGTGGCGGCCCTCGGCGAAAGTTGCGCTAGTCCAGTACACATCGGCCTTTTTGGCCTCCTCCCTCCTCCTCCCCTCGCTCACCGAGGGCGCTCCCGCGTGCGTCGCGGGAGCGGGGAGTGGACATGGACAGAGTGCTTGAATTGAAGGGTCCAAGATCTTCGGATGAACTCCAGGATGCGTGTACCTCGGAGTAGCAACACGTCTGGACATCCTGCATAAGATCGGCTTGGGGTCTGGACTCCTTCTCGTAACTCAGCCTGGACTTCGCTTCCCAGACCCCCCGTCGCTGAACGCACATCTGACAGTGTCCTCCCCCAGAGGCACGAGGCGCCCCAGAAGCTAGAATGACTGCGTTCTTGTTGCCAGCTTGGGAGTCGTTCGAACCAGCGTATGGGGAAGCCATTGTAGACTTCGTTCGCCCTCAGAACGACTTGGCATCGTTCGGACGTGTGCATTTTTCCTTCGGCGAGGTCCATCGAGGAGCATCCTTGATCATTTGGCGAAAAAGCCACGCACGAAACCGAAAAACACACAGGGAATGGACGTCCGAGCGATGGCCAGACAAGGCTGTCTGCGACTTGGTCCGGTAGGTTGCGTCGGAGTCGGCTGCATTCGGTCGGTTCGGTTCGGCCTGTTGCTGCGTCGTTGCGCCCTTTCTGGGTTGCTTTCGGTCTGTCGGTGTGGCGCCCTTTGGGCTGCTTTCCGCTGTCGGCTCGGTGGGTCTTCTGTTCTGCCGCCGTGGACGTCTGTGGTCGGCGCAGCAGCATATCAATGCCTGGCTCCCCAGATGGTCACTCCGTGCAGGAGCGCGCATGACGGCGATGACCCTAGCCCGACGGAGCCGCCCCACCCATGTGCTCCGTCTCTGCCCCCTCGCTCTCTGTGCCATCGAAGACGCCTGCGGCGAACCACCGCGGCCCCCTGCGTGTTGGAAGCGCCCATCTGGCCAAACGTTGGACCAAAGTCTGGCCAATCTATCCGATTATGGCTTCCCCAATCTATCGAGGAACGTCTTTGGGGAACACGTTGAGGAGGAACACAGATGCGAGGAGGTTGGGGATAAGAATGATGCGGAAGATGAGGGAGAAGAGAAGGAGGCCTCTGGGGGCGCTCTCGCCTTTTTTTTCTTTCTCTCTCTCTCTCTATCTCTCTCTCTCTCTCGGAGTCTCCTGGGGGCCTTCAGAGGGCCTCTTGGGGGGACTCTGAGGGGCCTTTTGTGGGCCTCTTGGGGGCCTCGTGGGGCCTTTGAGGGGCCTCTTGGCCGTCTTAGGATATCGTTGTCCCGTCGCACGATTTCTGAGGCCCTCTTGGGGGCCTCTCTGGGCCGTCTTGGGCCCTCTCGGGACGCTGTAGGGCCGTCTTGGAGGTCTCTGGGGCCGTCTCGGGGTACCCTTGGAGCCGTCTCGAGGGCCGTCTCCAGACTTGCTTGGGGGGCCTCTTAGGCCGTCGAGCTATCTTGGAGAGAGTGTTACAGTCTCCCCCCCCCCCAAAACGACCGAGCACCCAACGAATGTTTGAGTGCGGCTCCGTCGTCGGATCCTCCCGAAGCTTGCCCTGGACGGCTCGCGGGGCGTCTTGGGGGCCTCCTGTGCCGTCTTGGGCCAGACTGGGCCCTCTCGGGGCCCTCCGAGGCAGTCTTGGAGGCGTCTTGGTAGCGGCGTCGTGGAGGCCACATGGAGCCATCTCGGCCATCTCGGATGTCATTTTTGGGGCGTCTCAGAGGCGGAGGCAGCTCATGCGTGTCTTCTCAGGGTGGCCCCGCGGGACGCGCCGAGGCTCGTTGGAAACTCTCTAGAAGGACTCTCTAGAAGGGCCAAGGATTGCTAGGACACCTGGCACGACAAGCAGCCTCGTGCAAGCAAACGGGGTGGGGGGTTGGTGGGCGGTTAGGAAAGGGGAAGGGAAAGAATTGCCTGGGCGAGTTGCGCAGCCCCTTGCTTTTGGAGACTTCCATGTTCGGTGGCGAGCTGGTCGGATATCAGTTCGAAGCTAATGGCTGCCCCAGCCGCACTGATAATCTCTTGGTGGGAACACTTGGGAGCGAAAAGGCGAGAAAGAAGGGTGCGAGGGAGGAGGAGGGAGGAGGAGGAGGAGGGGAGGTAGAGGTGGAGGAGGTAGGAGGAGGCGGAGGGGAGGAGGAGGAGGAGGAGGAGGAGGAGGAGGAGGAACCGTAACCCTCCCCTCTGCATGTATATATATATATATATATATGTATATCCCTATCTACATGTAAATGTTTATGTGTGTACATATGTGTATCGCGGTGCAGATAGCCGTCGGGTCCGCGCACGGAAGGGATGATGGGGGGATTCAGTTGGCGGGGTGGGGTTCGGAGGCAGCCGCTGCCAGTGGAGCGCCCGCGGGTGCCGGCACCACCACCGCGACGGCCACCGCTTCTGGCCACGGCACGAGCCACCGCGCTCGCTCCCGCGTGCCCCCCCGGCCCGCGCGCTGGCTGCGGGCGACCACGGCGCGCCCGCGCGGGCGCGCGCGATGTTGGGTGCGATCCGCGCCGACACGGCGGAGGGCAATAGGCGCTGAGCAGAAGAAGACGGAAGTAGACCGAGGCAGACGAAGAGGACAGCAGAAGCAAGACGCCGCAGGACGCACGGGGACGCGGAGAAGAAGAACGAAGTAGGCAGCGACAGGCAGAAAGATTCTCCGCCGAAGCAGGAAGACGACCGAAGGCAGGACGGGCGCGCCGCCCGTCCCCATCCCAGCAGCCGGGGTTAACGACGCCGCAGCCCCGCGCCCATCCCACCTCCCCACCGCCATCGCCCGAATACGGACACCCATAAGCACACACCAAACCACAGCCTCTCCTCATCCCGACTCAGCACCCAAAGCCGTGCCACTCGACCACCGCCCACCACCGGAAGCCTTCCCCCAGACCCTAAACAAGGGCTCCGGCGCAAGACCCCCCCCCCCAGTAGTCCGATCTAGACCCGTTGTCCTCCCCTCCCTCCCTCCCTCCATTTCCTCCCTCCCCCTACATCCCTCCCTCCTCCTCCTCCTCCCCCCTTTCCTCCCTCCTCCATCCCTCCCTCCTCCTCCCCCTCCTCCTCTCTCCTCCTCCCTTCCCTCCTCCTCCTTCTCATACCTCCTCCTCTCCTCTCTCCTCCTCCCTTCCCCCCTCCCCCCCTCCGCCCCTCTCCTTCCTCTCTCCTTCTCACTCTCCCTCCTCTTCTCCTCTCCCAGCTCTCCTTCTCCTCCTCTCCCTTCTCCTCCTCTCCTCCTCCTCCTCCTCCTCCCTTCCCACTCCCTCCCTCCTCCTCCTCCTCCTCCTCCTCCTCCTCCTCCTCCTCCTCCTCCCTGGCTCTGAGTGCCTGGCAGCAATCCCCAAGATTGAGGACGGCGGCTCCGAGGGTTAGGCAAAGGACCTGGGGGCACTCCACTTCGTGCCACGGGGGCACGGTGTCGGATATTGAGCGTCGCAGAGTAGGAGCAGCGTTGAGTAGGGTCGAGTGAACTACAGTAGGGGTAGAGTCGAGTAGGCTAGAGTAGAGTAGAGTCGATTAGGGCAGAGTAGAACAGGGTAGGGTAGGATAGGACAGAGTATGGTAGAGAGAAGCATATTAGGGTCGAGTAGAGTTGTTTAGCGTATATCCGGGTGGAGTAGAATAGAGAGGCGAGTAGACATGAGTAGATCACGCACCACGTAGAGTTGAGTAGGGTTAGGGTAGAGCAGGGCAGCGCATAGTTCAGTCGTGAGGGGGTGTAGTCGGGAAGAGGAGAGAGGAGAGTAGGCACGAGTAGAGACGAGTAGGAGAATAGTTGAACAGGTTTAGCGTAGAATAGAGTATAGTAGAGTGTAGTAGAGTTGAGAATGTCAGGATATATTGTGTTAGAGTAGCGTAGAGTAGAATCGGGTAGTGCAGGGTAGATCAGGGTCGAGTAGAGCAGAATCGAGTCGAGAGAGCGGAGTCGAGTATTATCGGGTAGGGTAGAGTAGAGTGGCGGGGAGTAGGCAAGAATAGAGAGACGTGTAGGAGTAGAGTTGAGTTCTGTAGACTTAAAGTAGAGTATACTAGACCATAGTACAGTCGAGTCGAGTTGGATGGAGAGGAGTAGAGTAGAGTAGATCAGGTTCGTGTAGGGGCGGCGGGGCAGAGTAGAATAGGGTAGAGTAGGGCAGATCAGAGTCGAACAGAGTCGGGTAGGGTAGAGTCGAGCAGAGTGGATGATAGTATTCACGAGTATATAATATACGAGTATGAGTAGACAAGGGTATGGTTAGAGTTTTCTCAATCGAGTGGGCAACGTTATACTATAATGGAGTAGAGTAGAGTATATTCAGGTTCGGTAGGGTAGAGTAGAGTAGGGTAGACTAGACTAGAACAGAGTAGAGTCGAGTAGAGCAGGCTAGGTTAGATGGTAGGGTAGAGTCGGGGGTACCAAAGCAGAGTAGAGTATACTGGAATATAATTCACCTTGGTCCAGTCCAGTCTACTTCATTTCAGTTTACTTCGTTGCACTCCAGTCAAATTCCGTACAGTCTTCTGATCTGTTTACAGTCTGCGCGGGCTGATATTGTGTAGAAGCGTTCGAAGCTGTCTGTATCGATCTAGCACAATATGAGCCAGTTGTTTCGAACCGCTACTGGATCCTGCCAGCGCTAATCGGTCGTTGAACCCAGCCTGCCAGGACGATTGCATCAAGCATTTCGACGGCCTTTTCAAAGAGATCTTGGGATCAACGCTCCCTGAAAAGAACGCCGACAAGCTGGACAAGGCTTGGCGGACGTGATCAGAGCTACGCTTGCTGGAATGCTGTCGTGGAGGAGCAGGATATACATGGGGCCGAAGGGAAGAGGAACATGATAAGCAGGGGGAGGCGGAGGAGGAACATGTGGACGCGTAGCAGAGGCACCAGGAAGAGACGGAGTTACCTCGCGTCTTTTCCCAGGCAGCTTGTCCGTCATCATTGGCGCACTGCTGACGTCGAAGTTGTTGACGCCTCATGCTGTCCTCGGAAGCAGCACCCCAGCCGCTCGTGTGGAAGAGACGCTCTGTAGGCCAGCTCGACTGCTGTATTACATTCGCCTTAGCCACCGTGATGTCGAGCCACATGCGTGGCAGAGCTACGGGTACCCACAGCTCTGGCGGATGTTCATCTGACGGATGGTCGTTCGATCCAAGCTGCCGTTGCGAAAGCATGGTCCAAGTGAAACCGCGGCCATAGCCAATGGTGTGGCCGCAGGCAGTCAGAGGTAGAAGGGAACCTACGTCAAGAGAGGACACACCACCCGGTCCGAGCAACTGGCGTTTACTGACGGCCCTGGGCGTTCACTAAAAGCTTTGCCCTGTTCGATTCCTTCTTTGGATGCGTTTACTAAACGACCTCGCGTGTCGGGGTCGTTATTATCGGGGTGGATGCTCTGCCCTCTACTACGGACGGCCTCGCTTCAGGTGAGCCGATACACGTAGAAACGAACAACATGTTTGCCTTCGCCACATGACGTAGGTCGGCGACAAGCGAGGGGGGGAAATGAGAGGGAGAAGGCCTTCTCAGAAGGCAGCGGGACTTCTCGGAAGCTAGCTTTTGAGAGGTTTTCTGTGTCTTTGGGGAAGGCGAGGGATTTGTTTCAGAAGGCCCGAGGACTTCCAAGCTGTTGGCGGGATTCCCGAGGGGTGTGTGTTCTTTTCCGGGGAGGCGGCGTGCATCGTGCAGGTGCGGGTTCCTCTCAATACCAGCCGTTGTTGCCCACGACCTGCTGTGCTCTTCCAGTTCTGCCACCATCGCCTTGTCGGCGCAGTCCACTCTTATCAATGCGCTTTATCCCGGCGACAGCACGGCCAGGCATGGCCGCAGGGATTGCTTCATTGCTTGCTTTTGTTTGAGGGGAGAACATCCGAGCCCTGCTGAAAAGGCCCCCCCCCGGGGCTCGCCGCCGAGTGGGAGAAAAACACACACACACAAAAACACAGTGTGTGTGTGTGTGTTTCCCACTGTGTTTTTTTCTTTGTGTGTGTGTGTGTGTGTTTTTCCCACTGTGCTTTTTTTGTGGCCCGTCCGCGTCCCCATCGCCCTCTTCCTCCCCCCCGGGCCTCAGTCCGCCCATCGCCCCCGCCTCTGGCTCCGCTCCCTTCCTGGCCTCGGCCCTGGCGCCGCCGTGCCTCTCCTGCGCCGCCTGCCTGCCGCCGCTTCGGCTGCCATCGCTCGGACGTGTGCATTTTTCCTTCGGCGAGGACCATCGAGGAGCATCCTTGATCATTTGGCGAAAAAAACACGCACGAAGCCGAAAAAAACACAGGGAATGGACGTCCGAGCGATGGCGAGTTCGGCTGCTTGGATATTCGATTACCGCGCCCCCCCTCGCCGATCGTCGAGCGGCGGTTCTGTGCCGTCCAGTTCCGACGCCCTCCGGCTCCCACCGAGCGCCAACGGATGAGCGGATGGTTGGCCTCGTTAGTACAACAATCTCGGCGTTCTGGCACCACCGCGGGGCTCTCGTATGACGGGCCCATTTTCCACCACCATTACCATAGGCAGGAAAGGGAGGAGGAGGAGGGGGCGGAGGACCTCCTCATCCCCCCTTCTCCCCCGTCCTACATATGGTAGTGGTGGTGGAACATTTGCCCATTATCGTAGGGCCGCCCCCCCTGGGTTGATAGCCTCGCCTCGGAAGGACATCGAGAGCGGAAAGGCGAGAAGGCAAGCATCAGTGATGCTCCCTAGGTCTTTGAAGGATGTTGGCCTCTTGGCGACCTCCTGGGGAGGTTTCGTGGCCACTCGTAGCCGTCTTGGAGCGGTCTTGGGGCCTCTTGGAACATCTTGGGGGTCATATTGAGCCATTTTGGGCTATCTTGGGCCATCTTGGAAGGCATCTTGGGCTCTCTGAGGCCCTCCTAGAGCCATCTTGAGCCACCTTGGACGCTCCAACGCCCCGCGCACCCCCCCCTCCGGGTCTAGGGGAGGGGGTAATTAGGGGGAGGGGTCAAGCTGCCCAACCGCCCGCAAGCTGTCTAGCTCACTCCCACCCGCCCTCCAAACACACAAGTAGCACCCGAGCCTGAGCATGTTCAGCGGTCGTCTTTGGATGGGCAGTTACTGGGAACCGAAGCCGATCCCAGGTGCGCGACGCTTGGGCGAGTTGCGCCACGCATGCCAGGGACCGCCAGGCACCCGTGAGGCCCAAGCGTGGCAGGCACGCTTGGTGCGCCAGATGCGCCACGTGCTCCGAGTGCGCAAGGTGTGCGGAACATTCGGCCGCGCCAGGTGCGCCACGTTCGGGGCACGTGCAGAGTGCGTCAGGTGCGCCTGCGCACGTGACAACACACATCGGGAAACATGTCGGCCCCCACCATTCTTGTCGAAAACCAATGCCCATCATTGTGTCTTTTGCCTGCGACCAGCAGGCCACGCGCCACCGCCCCCGCCGTCCCTGTCAAAAGCCATTTGACAGTGATCGCGGAGTGGCCGCATGATCCAGATTTAGCCCCGAGGTACATTTTGTAATGTTTTTTTTAGGGATGGTAGCCCTGCGCACAGCAGGCAATATGCTGACACCCCCGCCCTCCCTGTCAAAAGCAATAGAAAGTGCTCGCGGGTCGCAATCACATGACTCAAGACTTTGCCCCAACAGTGTACGTTGTCATCGGGTTGCATGCTCCAAATGTGGAGGCAGAGTGCGTTTTGTATTGTTTTTGATAGGGAAGGTGGGGGGGGGGCCCTCGGTTGGCTGCCGGTCGCCTGGGGGAGGGGGTGTATAGTAATAGGGAACAGTGATAAATCCCTCCCCGAAGGGAAAAAAGGGGGCTGGAAGAGAAAGCTCTTTAGACCACCTACTCCCAGAGGGCTGATGAGATTGTATAACAGGATAGCACACCTCCCCGGTGGTCATATTCTGCGCCACCCGTGTATGAGCTTGGACGGAACACACCAAGGCAGTGGCCTCGCAACCACAAACATAGACGCCCGAAACTGCAGTGGGCGGCGTGTGCTTCCCCGTGCGCTTTCTGATCATGCCTGCATTTCTCGTACGTGTAGTCCGAAGACTTAATGTGCCCCACTCGCCGTTTCGTCGCTTGACTTCCTTGCTTGCTTGCGGGGGCACTGATGGCGGGGATCTTCACAGGGGGGCTGCATCGACCCCCAATCACCCCATTCGTCGCCGATGGGGGCCTGGTAGCCCACGCCGCCCGGGAATGTGCTCCCGTGCCCCCCCCTCTCCCTTCGTTTAGTGAGGCGCAAACATCGAATAGGCGACGGGGCCCCGGTTGCATGCTCAATCGACTGGCTGCGTCGCCAAACCGGGCGACATGGGCTTCATGTTTCGGGGGCGCCGTCCCCGTCCCGTGGGTTTGGCGCCCTCGCGCCAGACCCGCAGAGTAGCGTGCGCCCGACCCGCCGTTCCCCGCCCCCCCCCCCAGGTGTGCGAGGCGGTCGAGATGGGCGGCGACGCCTCAAAGGTCATGGGCTTCGAGGCGCAGCTGCTGCAGCCCGCCGCCCAGCTCTGCGCCCCCCCCCCACCCCACGGTCAAAAGCCGGGCGAAGGTCGGCAAGCCCGTGGCCGCTGAAGCGGAGCTCCGGGAACTTGTTTGTGTTTTTCCATCCGGGAAGCAGCCCGTTTGCTATTTGGCGCGCTGAGCTTGATTCTGGGAATTTGATGTTTTTCTTCCGGGAAGACCGTTTTAGCATTACATCGGGCCTGTCCCTCTCTCTTTACAGGAGGAATATTCCAAAGTAGTAAAAATAGTCAGGTTTTTTTTTTTTTTTTTTTTTTTTGCATGTTTGGGGTATTTGTTTGTTTTTCGCCCAACATCCCCCTGTAGGGGGACAGGCCCGACCTAATTTTCGCAGCCACGGATTCGCCAGCCCTCGCCCAGCTTCCAGCGCGTGTGCCAGGGGCACCGAGAGGAGATGGAGGCAGCCTTTTGGTGCTCGGTGGCGGGGCAGGGGGGCAGTAAACCGAGGGGGGATCTCGGATGGGGCTCGGCGCATGCAACACGCCGCCTGGGCGGCGCAGGAGCGGTCCCCGAGAAGAGGGCTGCTTGGGAGTCTCCGCGTGCGCCTTCCCTCCTTCCCCACTCCTTGCCGCCCTTCTCCCCCCCCTCCCCTCGTCCTCATGTCTTTTTTCTTCCCTCCTCCCCTCCCTCCCTCCCTCCCTCCACCTTCTGTTCCTCCTCCTCCTCCTCCTCCTCCTCCTCTCCTCCGCCCCCCCTCTCGTCTCCTCCTCGTCCTCCTCCTCCTCTCTCCTCCTGCCTCCTCTCCTCCTCCTCCTCCTCCTCCTCTCCTCCTCCTCCTCCTCCTCCTGCCTCCTGCCTCCTCCCTCGACCCCTTGACCTGCCCCTTGGTGTGTGTGTGTGTGTGTGTGCGCGCGCTCCGACCACAGCGTCGAGCCGCGCCCTGCCGTGAGAGTCGCCCCAGGAGACCCTCACAGCGTCCACGGCTCTCGATCCAGCCAGTCGTTGCCAGAGGTGTCCCCTCGTGCCTTCAGCCTCCTCATCTCCAGCTTCATCTTCATCTTCATCTTCATCTTCATCTTCATCTTCATCTTCATCTTCCTCCTCACCCTGCTCCTCCTCATCCTCCTCTCCTCCTCCTCATCCTCATCCTCCTCCTCCTCATCCTCCTCCTCCCTGCCCTCCCCTCCCCTCCACAATTACAGAATACGATTACCATTCTCCTCTCTCCCCTGATGACGTCCAGACGATATCCGGTCCCCCTCCGCGCACTATTGTTTACACAGGATTCCCGGGACATGGGCTTTCGCTTTGTTTTTGTTTCGAAATGTGGCTCCCGCTGGAGCGTTGGCCCCATTTCTGTGCCGCTGGTTGTTCCAAATCGTGCTCCTGCTGCAGCGCGGGCGTGTTCGGTCCTTCCAAATAGGCTCCAACAGGTAGAACATGCCCCCCGGAAAAACGATCGAAAGTGATTCCATAGTCGGTGCCGATTCGTTGTTTTTTTGGGCCGCAGAAGCCCCCTCACTTGGGGGCGTCGTCGCTTTCAGGAAGCATCAAGCGGGAGCCCCGTTTCTGCTTTGAGCAGGCGATGTTGAAAGCAGAGCCAGCGGGCGCTCTCCATCAGCCCCGCCTTGTGTGGAGCATTTTGGGCAGCTCAAGGAGCCAGACATGGAGCCACGACTCCAGACCGACCCAGACCTCCCCAAGACGATCCACTTACCCTCCAAACCCAGCGCTATGCCAGGGCATGCTGTGCGGCGATGTGCTCTGCGCCGCTGTGCGATGCCATGCTATGCGTTGCAATTTTTGCGATGCTATGCTTAACTGCGCAATGCCACGCCATGCAATGACATGCTACGTTCTGCCGTGCTCTTCTACGCATTGCGATGCCGTGATCTACCATGCATCGTGTACCCTCTCGCGATCAATGCTCTGCTCAGCATCCGACTGTGCGAATAGAGTGGATATCTTCGCCGTGGTAAGGGATGGGAGGGAGGGGCAGGACGTCAGATATGACGCGAGCGTACCTAGCTTGCCTCCCCTCCCCTCCCCTCACCTCCCCCACCCTAGAGGTTTGGATGCTGCTTGACTGCGCTGGAGGCGTGGCTTGGCAGGCCAGCCTCGTTCTGGGGGAGCTCTGGCTCCGTTGGGACCCCATCGGTTTCGGCGCCCCTGTGGAGAGGTTCTCCCCGAATGTGGCCCCCCTGCGGTCTGAACCCAGATCCGGGGATTGCTTTTTTATACCGAGTCCTTTTTCCACGGTCCCGTGGACCTCCGGTAAGCGCTTCCCGAGACCGACAATTGCGAAAAACCTATTGCAATCGTTTCCCTCGAACCTCTACCCTCTTCATCCCGTACTCTGTGTCAGTAGTTCCGGGGGTAGCTGTAGTCCAGGGGGGGGGCCTGTAGTCATGGGGAGAGGTACCCGTAGTCCGTGGGAGGTATTAGTAGTCCAGGGTGGGGTACCTGTAGTCCGGGAGGAGGGTACCTGAAGTCCGGGTGGGGTACCTGTAGTTTGCGCTTGGGGGGGGGGGCGGGGGGACGAGTGTTCACGCGTCAACCCGCCCGCGTGGATGTAGTCCCGGGGGGTGTGCTTGTAGTCCGGGGTGGGGTACCTGTAGTCCGGGGAGGGGACACTTGTAGTCCAGGGCCCGGGGATCCAGAACCGCAGACATCCGCCGATGGCCCCCGGACCAGACAAGGGGCCCCGGAGGCCGAGAGCACACCCTCGGATCTGTGGGGCTACTGAGGCACACGGAGCACATCGTCAAGACGATGGGCTCCCCCAGGGGGGGCCTCGTCTGTGAGCGAACAGCGAGGAGGTCCCCCCAGTGGGAGCCCCCTCCCTGCGGGGCCCACGCTTCACATTGGTCATCCGAGCGGGCCCTCGACGGACTCTGCCGGGCGTAGCCCTCGGTCACGCGGCGGAGTCTCGTCCGTGAGCGAAGCGCGAAGAAGTCTCGGGGCCCTCTGGGGCCCGCCCTTTGTGCTGGTCATCCGAGCGGCCATCACGGCCTGCCAGGCTGCGGCTGGCCTGTTTGGCGCAGGTTCGGGCGCCGACGGGCGCGCCCCGGCGCTGCCGCCATCGCGCGAGGGAGGCCCCCCCCCCCCCCAGAGGCACCTAGGACGCCCCAAGAGGCCCCCCAGAGGCCCCCCAGAGGCCCTCAAAGAGGGAGGCCCCCAAGACGCCTCCCAAGACGCACCCCAAGAGGCCCCCCCCCCCCCCAAGAGGCACCCCCAAGACGCCCTGAGAGGCCTCTGAGAGAAGGCCAGCGTCGCTGGCTCTGCGAGGGTTGTGGCCACATTTTGGCCGCCCATGGGGGGGGGGGCCTTGATCTGCTGTACGGCCCCTCTGATCGACCTCCCCCAGCTCGTCGCCGCCGCCCTGGGGCCCCCTGGGGCCCCTCCTGGGCCTTGCGCGGAGGGGTGCTCTGTGGAGGCCACGTGGGCCTGGCCTCCCTTCGCCACGGGGGGATGCGGGTCCCGAGGGAAACGGGTCCCGAGGTCGAGAACGGACCGTGGCAAAGCGGCGGGGGGCAGATTGCCGCAGGACATCGCGGAGAGT